ATGGTCAGGATTTGAATTTTGAATGGATAAAAGCATTGGTAGTTGATAAAAGTAAAACATTTGTATATGCAATTGATGAAAAGAAAAAACTTTCACAACAACAGCAACAAACATTAATGGAATTATTTGAACAAACAATTGGCCAATATGAATTTACCTATGGTTATATTGATGGTACAAAAATGTTAAGATTTTATTTATTTACAAATCGTTTGGAAATGGAAAAATTTATAACATTTTCAGCAAATTTTATTAGAGAAAAAGCAGATAAAGAAAATCGTTATCATTTTTTTATAAATTCCGTTCAATATTTATTTTATTGTAATAAACAAATTACGAATAGAAATATTATTGAAAATTCTATTAAAAATAAACTGAAATTATTGAATAATACGAATTATAAACGAGATAAACGAGAGGATAAATTTCAACCATCATTTTTACCGAAAACATTTTTATCATTATTCATAATAGTATTTGTACCATTATTATTATTTGGTTTGATTGTTAATCATCGTAGACAAATTACAAGAACAATTGATTCACTTACCAATGAAAAATCATTATCAGATACAACAGCAATGAACGAATAATTTTTAAATTGGATTACAAGTAAAAAAAAATTCGATTAACTTTTTGTAATTCTGTTTTTGGTTTTGTAATTAAAAATTTGAAATATTTAAATATGATTAAAATTCAATGTTAAATTTGTATTTTTTTAAAAATTGTAATTTCTTTTGTGTTGTTTGTTCGACCATGTATAATAATATCTTCGTTATTATAATGATGATGTTTATAATAATTATTATTGATCAATTTACAATAACATTACAAAATCAACAAACAGTTCAATGTGGTTATGATTATCTACCTAAAACAATTGGCCTATCAATAACAAATAATCAATTATATCAATTTTTATTTATTGATAAAATGATTAAAATTATAAGATATGATTATGATGAATTAATTATAAAAAATAATGATAATAATAAACAAATTTATAATAAATTTAATTTAACTAATGGCCAATGGATGTTGAATGGATTAAAAGATTTTCAAATACCATTACATACAATTGAAAAATTAATGACAGTAATCAAATGGACTGGTAATATAAATTCAGCAAATAATAATAATTATAATGCTGAACCAATATCACCACCACCGATAATATCGATAGCAATATCGTTTGATAATCGTAAACAAATACAAATTTATTGTCTAAAATCATATGATCGTATAAATTATTTTGTTGGTAATTATAAACAAAAATTTAATTCAGTAAAAACATTATTCATAAGTTATAATGAACCACGGATAATGAGTGTAATATCGAATCAACATCAAGGAATTATAACAATTTCTTATAATCAAAAATCATTTTATTTAAGAATGAAAAAATTAACCAATGATAATGATGATAATGGTAATGAATTTGAATGGACAAAAACAATGTTAATTGAAACGGATAATTTTAAAGATTTATTAATACACGTACAAAATGGACAATCGGAAAATAAAAATGAATTAATAAAATCATTTGGTCAAATATTTGATTCAAATATGTTTACATTTGGTTTTATTGATGGTACAGCATTTATAAAATTTTATCTATTTTCAAATTCAACCAAAAAAATCATTACATTTGCAGCAAATTTCATATTAAATAATTCGGATAAAGGATTTTATCGTTTATTTATAAATTCATTTGAAGATTTACTTTATTGTAATTCGAAAAAAGTAATTATAGATAATAATAATAACAACAACAACAATAATAAAGAGAACGATGACAACAAGAAGGATAAGAACAACAACAAGGATAAAGACAAAAAGGATAACAACAACAAGGATAAGAACAACAACAACAACAAAGACAAAAATAAAGAGAATAAAGATAAAGACAACAAAAACAATGAAAAAAATAACGAGAATAACAATAATAACAACAACAACAACAACAACGAGAACAACAACAATGAAAAGAATACAGAATCGAATAATAAACAATTGAATATTGATGATGGAAAATTTCATCCAAAATTTTTACATATATTATTATTAATATTATTAATATTAATAATATTAATTGGTTTAATTACATTTACGAAAAGAAAAAAACGTATTAGAAAAATTGAATCATTAATATATAAGAAGGATAAAAGTAAAATGAAAACAAAACATAAACAAACATCAACAGTAGATTCATTGTCAAAAACAACAGCCACAACAACAATCACCGATAATGACCGTTATTAATTTTTGATTTTTAATTAATTTAATTTGATCGAATTTTTAAAAAATTAATAAAATTATTTATTATAAAAATTATAAAAATTTTGATTTAAAAATAACCAACACAATGTTGATTATAAATTTGACTGAGAGAAAAAAATACAAAAATTCGTCTATTTTGTTGTTTGAATTCAAATGTTGTTTCGTTATATGAAATTATCAACATTATTCATATGGATAATTATAGTAGTGATAATATTATTACAATATGATTATGTTTTGGGACGAGAACGTGAAGTGGAAAAAGATCAAAGAGATCGAGAACATCAAGACGATCAAGGAGATCAAGATCGAGAACATCAAGACGATCGAGACCGAGAACATCATCAAGAAGAACATAAACAAATCGAATGTGGTAATGATTATCTTACCAATACAATTGGTTTATCAATAACAAACAATCAAATTTATCAGATAATATTTGAAAATCAAATAATACATACAATAATTTATCCATATAGAGATAGAAGAATAATTGAAATACGTAAAATTATCAATGATGATAACGAAGAACAAATTAATTATAAAATGAATTTAATAAATGGCAAGGATTATAAATTAGAACAATTAATACCATTTCCAGAAATTTATAAACAAATATTACAATCATTTTTTGATTTAAAACAACAACAACAAAAAATGTCATCGATTATTATGCTGGATGATGGTGGTGGTGGTGGTGGTCATGGTGGTCATCATGGTGATAATAATAATGATCATCAACAAATTAGATTTTTTTCCTATGTAACAACATTGAAAATAGAACATTTTATTATTGATTATAATCCAAAAAATTCATTACAACAAATTGATATTTCTGAAATGAAATTTTCAAATCGTACTGAAATGATTGCCATTAGTAATGGTAATCGATTTCGATTAGTAACATTTGTTATAAATGATGATTCAATAAGAATTGGAAAATTTTTAGAATCAAAACAAGTGATTTATCGTTTATATATTGATCATATGAATGAAAAACAATTCATATCAATGTCAGAACGTATGGAAAATATTGAACCAGAATTGGATAGAAAATATCGTAAAAATATACAAAAATATTTTGGACAATATAAATTTGAATATGGTTTTATTGAAACATTTTTATGTAAAGAAGAAAATATTGAACCATATGAAGAGGAAATATTATTTATATTTTCAAATCAAAATAAAAAAATATTAACATTAAATATTGGTAATATATTTACTGGGCAATCATATATACCATATTCAATTTATAATTATATTGATTTTTTTCATTGTGAATCGTTATCAGATGATCAAGGTAATCAACAAGGTAATCAAGACAATAATCAAGAAGACAATAATCAAGAAGGTGATAGAATAAAAAAAAGATGTTATCAAAAAAAATCTACAACAAATAATAATAATAATGATAAAGAAAATAATTTTAAAATTTATATTATAATTATATCGGTTGCAATTATAATTATGATTATATTTCCATTAATAGCAATTATATCAATGATTTGTTATTCAAAAGGTCGTTGTCAATGTTGTTTATGTCATCGTTTGTTTAATCGTATGCATGTTAAACAAATGATGATGCAACTTGAAAAACAACAACAAAGAAAACAAGAAAATTCAAACAATTTAATATCAAGAACAATTGAATCAACATTATTAACAACAACAACAGTACCATCAATACAATCAACAATTAAAACAAAATTTTTTAGAAAATAACCGAAAATAAAATTAAAAAAAAAAAATGAAAATTACCACCACCACCATTATTATGATTTTATTTTTAGTTTCTCTCTCTCTCTCGCTCCCACACACACTCTTTGTTCAAAAATAATGTTTTTTCCCATTTTGTTGTTGTTGTTGTTGTTATTTGAATTACAACAACAACAAAACAACAACAACAACAACAACATGGTGGTGAGAAGAAGAAGAAGAAAATAACCAAAAATATCAATTTTCAGGAAAGATTTTCCAATTTCCGATTTCAAAAAATAATGTTTTTTCCTTTTCGTTTTCTTCGTTCGGATAACAAAATAGAAAGGGAAAATCTTCTTTTTTAAATTAAAAATCCAAAAAATGCACACCTTTATATTTATATAAATCACAAGACAATCACCTGAAACTTTTTGATTTCCAAACACACACACCACACTCGCATCAAATCTATTATTAACTTTATATTCATTCATTTTTAGACATGCAATCAACAACGTAGAAAAAAAACGGAGATAATTTGATTGATTGACAGATGTTATAACCGTAGTAAATGAGTGGGCGGCTAGAGGAGAAAATTGAAAATTGACAGCCATCATTTTCCCGATAAAGGATGTTCAGGATGTTAAAAACAACCATCACGTACTATATGAATGAATGGATTATCTTTGAAACAAAACATTCGAATCCAATTTATTTATACAAAAAAATCCTATTTGGAAAATTTTTTTTTAAATAACATTTTTTTAACCTAAAAAGAAAAAGAGATAATTTCAAAAATGAGAATCTTTACGAATTTGTTGTTCATAATGTGGAATCACAAATGAAGAAGAAGAAGAATTTCCTGTGAATTAACAAACAGAGTGTAATAATCGAATGTTTATGAAGTATATAATAACAACAACAAAAAGAATGGCCAAAAAAAATCAAAAGAAAAAACTCAACGAAACAAAAACAAAAAAAGGGTTAATGTGGTTTGTGTTTGATTGATTAACAATAGAAAATTAACTTGGTTTTGTTTTTCTTTCTCCCTAAAGAACAGGAAGAAAAGAATAATTCGGTAATCACATTTGTTTTGTTTTTGTGTTTGTGTATGTTTTTTATGTAAAGAAAACAGAAAAAAGCACCATAATCTGGATGGAAATAATAGTTGATTGATATTATCATTATCATCATCATCATCATCATCATTATCATTATCGGGATTGTCCATAATCATAATAATTTATTATATTCAATAAATGTTGATTTTATATCATTTAATATGACATCAAGTTCTTTACGAAGATCTATGATAATGAAGAAAAGAAAAGAAAGAATTTAAAAATGAAATTTTCAAGAAAAATCAAAACATACCATATATTCTATCACGACAAGAATTGGCTTTCAAACGCATTGAATCATCCAATTCATTTAATTTACTATCATAAATTGGATCATCAATTTTTATGCCCATCTGAGAGGGAAAAAAACGAAATGAAAATGAAAATTTTGTTCAAATTATCAAAAAAAGCAAAACAAAACAAAACACACTTACACAATGTAAATTTTTATGCTGTTCATTTATTTGACATTCAATCTGTACACGACAATTATTTAAACGTCTTAATTCTTGTTTTAATGTTTCACGTTTTGTAATACGTTCATTAATTTTATCTTTGATTAATTGATTTACTTCTATACGATCTTTATAATCCATTACCAAAAAAAAAACAAAAATCTTTGTTATTTCGTGCAAAAATCGAAAATTTCTTAATTGTTTTTTTGCTCAGAGCAAGATCGAAGCACCAAAAAAAACACTATGATGATTAACGATGAAAAACCGATGTCGATCTTCAGACAACAAAGTTTTTTTTGTTTGTAAATATCACTGATTGATAAAAAATGATTGATTATCAAACACAATGACGATGATTATGCTGGTGAATCAAATGATGGTCGTTTTCTTCGTAAAAAAGTTGTTTGTTTGTTTGATTAAATTCAATCAACATACTGACAATCAATCAATACTGGTGAAACAACAAAACAAAACAAAAACAACAAAACAAAACCGAAAGAATTTTATGCGTTTCGGCGATGAATGCGGAAAGATGTACAGTTAGTTTTGTTTTGTAACAACGAAAAAAATTGAAAGTGAAAATATGATGAAGATGAGAGTGATGCTTCAGAGAGAAACAAGAAAATCCAAGATGAGAGTCACAAAAAAATTGTTGTTGTTGTTGTTGTTTTGTGCGTGTAAATATTCGAACAACAACAAGTGAAAAATAAAAATTTAGGCCAAAACGGGCGTTTATAGACAACACATCTGCAGAGAGAGAAAATGTCTAAAAAACATTTAGCTGGCCATCGGCAAAATGGTTCTCGCAACAACAACAACAACAAAAATCGTTCGATGCAAAAATGGAAATCACAAAAAAATGCGGTTGTTGTTCTTTGATTGTTTTCGAACGTTCGAATGTTTTTTTTTCGATAATGATGATGATGATTGCTGGCTACGAAAAAACGAAGATAATTTTAAATCCAACCGATAATGTTTCGATGTCGAAGATGATGATGATGAAAGTGAAAGTGCAGTGTGGTGAAATTGGGCCAAAAATATACCAGAAAAAAAATAGTTTTTTTTCTTCTTTTTCGAATTTAATCGTCAAATTTTGTTGTTGTTGTTTTTGGCAACTTTGCCAACAGGCAAACTATGATGATGATGATGATGATGATGAGGAAATTTTATGTTTTTTTCGGTTCGTGGCGTTTTGGATGGAAATTTCTTTTTTTAAAAAAATTTAAAACAATAATTATATTGATAATTATAACTTGTCGTCGGTTTGATTTTCGATTTTTCTTGGATATGAAATCAATCAAATCGAAGGCGAAAAAATCAGGGAAACTTTTTTTCTTCGGAAAAGATCAAATGAGCATCACCATTTTTTTGGGATTCAATAATCATCGATTGATTAATTGGTCGTCGATCGATCACACAAAAAAAATGCAGATGTTTTTTTTTGTCCTCGAATTCTGGATTTACTTTCATCGAATGTGAATGCAGTTGACAATCATGGAATGTTTTCTCTCACCACTATTTTCTATGCTTTTCCTTCGCAAATTTTTTTTTATTCATCATCGAACATGTCCTATTCAAAAATGACATGATCAAGTTTTTTTTTTGTTTACCCAGTTTTTTAGAAACCTGTATTCCATTTTATTCATTTACCTATTTCAATTAAAATGAATTCAATGAGCTATTCATATACTGAATGTAATTTTACAAAGAAATAGTGATTTATTCGAATTTCGTTTTTTGGATTGTGATAATAGGGTAGAAGAATTTTATGCTTTCGTTTTTTCATTTGACACATGTTATTGGCGGTTAATTTTGTTGTTTTTGGTTTTTTCAAGAATTTTTTTCATTTTGAATCCAAGTTTTGTTTTGTTTCAAATTCATTCAAAATGGTCATATCGTTGGATAATGAAATTTCACCATATGAACCATTTGGTCGTTCAATTATAGAATCGATACCGAATCCAAATTTAACATTACGTCCAACAGAATCTTCATCTGAACAACTATCAGATGAAAATTTTTCCTTTAACAATGATTTTATTACATCCGAATTAGATCAATGTAGAGATTTATTTCGGTCGATCAATGAAATCAATAATAATAATGATAAAGATAATGGTTCAGCTAAATTGGCTAAAAATAAATTTCAAACGGTAAGTTTTACCTGGATTTTTAGAATCGGTTATTAATTACTTATTCAATCAATGAATTAGAATGATTTTTGGCGTCTACGAAAAACGGTTAGAGGTGAAGAAGAAATTTATGTCAATTCAAATTCATTAATTCTTAGCCATCGACCATCGAATATTGATGGTGAATCATTTTTGGATAAATCATTAACATTACAGCATTATATTATCGATGCTATTTGGTGTGATTTTACCATCACTGATGATACTAATCAAGCCATATCATCATCAACAGATAATGATAGTCATTCGAATGTTAAAAAAGCAATGAAAATCTTGAAAACATTATGCATTTTAGATGATCATTATTGTTTACATATTCTATCGGATAATGGTGATTATTATCAAAAAAATTTACCATTTCGTATTGGAAAAATGTTGGCAACAATCGAACATGGATTATTATTCGAACGAATAATTGGTTCGGAATCGAAAGAAATATTACATTATCCAGCTATTTATTCATTATCAAATCCATTGAATGATTTATCACCAGTTTTGATGATAATGTCTACTAAATTATCATCATCATCAACAACATCGACATCAAATCAACAATTAAAATTGGTTAATATAATTGCTGAAAAAAATTTAGCCATTTTTTATTGTTATCAAAATAATTGTCATGTAATTTATCAATTACGTTCATTGAAAAATACGGATATTCAGCAATTATTTCTGTATCATCATCATCACCAACAACAGCAGCAGCAACAACAACAACAACATTCGAATATTTTAAATAATCGAAAATCAATGGATATAATGGAAACACCGGAAAATCAAACTAAACGACCACAACAACAACATCAACAATTTACAATTACATCATCAATAAGTCGATCATTAAGTAATAATCTTATACAGCAAATTGTACAACAAAAAAGTGGTTCAGCATCATCATCATCATTATCAGCAGCTGCAGCAGCATCAAATGAACTTTTACATCAACATCATCGAAGTTCATTATCACCACATCATCATCATCATTCAACAACACAATATCATTCACCATTAAGACATTCTGTATCATCTCAAATGCGTCAACAACATCATCATCATTATCATCATAATCGTTTGGATGATATACCACCACGTACACCATCACCATGTTTATTAATGTCAAATTTGATTGCAAGTCGTATGGATTCACCATTATCACCAAATCCATTAAATCATACTGCTAATCATCGTTTAACTGATCTTGATATTGAAATGTATTTAGATACAAGTCGTAATACAACAATGTTAATTGATTCACCAAATTTAAATAGAATTTTTTCAACAAATTCTTCAATTAATTTAACAAATTTATCATTTACACAATCATCACCATTATCATTATCGATACGTAGTGGTAATACACCATTAATCGGTGATAATAATGATAATCGATCAATCGATTTACAAACATTATCCAATCAATCGATTAATCAATCATTTTTTCCCAATGAATCAACATTTGATTTGGCAATGGAATTTGTTTGGTCAGAAACATCGATACATGGTCATGGTCATCAACCAACATCATCAATGAATCAATCGATGGCAACAAAAGTTTTCATAACATGGGATTTTCTTGGTCAAAATTATCTTGGTTTAGTTATTTCAAATAACAATAATCGTTCAAATGTTGATCTAATGTTATCACCTGCAATTGATTCTAAAACAACAACAACAGCAAATAATTTATCAACATTAAAACTAATACGATTTGATCAGGCATCAACCACCACGAATGTTAATGAAGATCTTAATAATAATGATGATTTACAAATGAAATTTAAATATATTTTTACAACCTGTAAATCATTTCAGGTTAAAGATGCACAACCATTATCATCATTAAATATGATTTTAATTATTGATGAAACAAATACCCTTATATTATATAGTGGTTTATTTAAAGTAGCTATTATTCATTTACAACAACCAACAATGTCATATTTAATGTTACAATCGAATCCAATTCATGGTTGTTTATCATCTGGATTATCAACATCAGCTGGTTATTCAATGTCAACAACACCGGCAAAATTATCAACACAATCAACAACAAATTCAGCAAAATTATTTTCAAGAAATTCATTAAAATTTCAAACACCAATTGTTGCAAGTCCATTACAAATAATGATGAATAATCGTAATGATAATAATAATTTTACACCTGAATTAAGTGAATTATTGGAATTTTCATCTAGTGGATCACCAAATTTGATTACTGGTAATCATCATCATCATCGTCTTATGCATTCTTCACCATTGGATAATAATCAACAGCAACAGAAAATTTTATCCGAATTTGGTTCTATTCAACCACAATGTCCTCCTGGTCAATTTGGTGAAATTATTGGTCTTTGTGATTCGATTGATAATCGTGTTACAATTGTACAACGATCACCAACCAATGATGATGATTGTCAATTATATCGTTTATCATTTCCATTAATGGCATCAACATTTTTAGTTGATAAATGTTTAGCCGCATTACGACAAACATTACCAAAAGATCAATTTATACATTTGTTAGCTACATGGTATACATATCGTAATTCAACAAATAATGATGAAGATATACCTGAATATATACTATTTAAATTATGTTTATTATCATCAATCGGTTTTGATAAAGAATATTTTAAACATTATTATCTTGGTAAAAGGGAAATTATTTGTTCATCATCGAATTCAAATCTTAAATTTAATTTGAATACATTTGATAATATGGAACAAGATGATAATAATATCGATGTTAATATTGATAAACATGGAATGGAAAGTAGTAAAAAAATTCGTATCGATAATGATTTAGATAATAATGGTAATGATGATGATTTTTATCAATTAATGGCAGAAATTAATAATGATGATTGGACATCAACAACGAATCAATCGATTCGTATGGATCATAAACAATCATCATCATCATCATCATTAAAATCACAAAATTTTAATTGTCCTGGTTTTCTTTATCCATATACACCACATATATTATATTCATTACATTTGGTTTATGAAGATCTGAAATTAGTTGAAATGAATTGGCCATTATGTAGATCATTAGTTGATATTTTATATCTACTAGCTACAAATCTTAATCTTTCCAAATATCTTGATCATTATTATCGTGATTTTTATCAAATTTGTCAAAAAATATCAACCGAATTTAATCAACAATTTCATCAATATAAAGATCGTTTAATTTATCCATCATATTTTTGTCAACAACGACCACCATCAATTTATAATACATTGTATACATTGTTGAATGATTTTCATAACGATGATGGTGCTGCTTCTCAAACATCATCATCATCAACAACAGTATTGTTTCCATATCTTGGATCGGCAACAAAATCTACATCGAAATCATCAAATGAAAATGCAAATGTTGTTACACCAAATCTATTCAATATGATATTATTATATTCAAATTTGAATCAAAAACAATTAATACATCCACATCAAGTTTTACAACATATTGGTCATAATAGTTTTAATTTTGATTCAAATCCATCAGCATTTATGAATATAAAAAAATTTGAACAAATTATTGATATTTATGATTGTAATGATGATGATCAAAATATGATAAGAAGAAAAAATTCATCAATGGAAAAAATTTTATTATTAATGTCAGCATTAAATATACGTAGAGAATATATAAAACGTTTACCATTTGGATTAGCACTGCCATTATGGAATATAATCTATTATTTTCGTGATAATCCAAGAAAAGATTGGTGTACATCATTATATTCATTAGTTGATCGACCAGATCTTTTAGCATTAGAACAACAACAACCATATTGTTTTGTACAATTATCATCATCATCATCAGCGAAACAAATGTCAACAAATGAATCAATACAAGAAGAACTTGAATATTTTGATATGTCAATCATTAGATTATTATTTCCAAATGATCAACGATTATTTGAAGCATTTCGTATGTTATTATCATCAAAACCAATGATTATTGATATTAAACAAGAACCAGGTGTACCGGATAATGAATTTGTTGAAGAACAAGAAAAACATTTATTAGCATTATCATTTCGTACAATGGCATTACCACTTGGACGTGGTATGGTTACATTACGTTCATATAGTCCAACTGTTATTGAACGTTTTCCAATACCACCATTAATATTACATGGAAAAGTTCCACCAAGACATTTAATACATTTAAGTCATATTGATGTACCACCAAATATGAATGTATGGCCATTATTTCATAATGGTGTATCGGCTGGTTTAAGAATTTCATCCGCACCAAATCGTATGGTTGATTCATCATGGATTTTATATAATAAACCATCAAATAATCAATCGGCTGATGATCATTATGAACATGCTGGATTTTTACTTGCACTTGGTTTGAATGGTCTTTTAGATAATCTTTCTATAATGCATTTACATGATTATCTTTCAAAAGGAAATGATTTAACTAAAGTTGCAATATTATTAGGATTATCTGCATCACGTCGTGGTACAATGGATTCAACTGTTTTTGCTTTACTTGGAATTCATTTAGAAGGTTTATTACCATCAACAAGTACTGAATTAGATGTTTCACCAATTGTTCGTGTTGCTGCCGTTTTAGGTACTGGACTTTTATTTCAAGCAACTGGAAATCGTTATATAGCTGAAGTAATGCTTACAGAAATCGGTAGACCACCTGGTCCAGAAATGGAACATTATATTGATCGTGAATCATATGCATTATCAGCTGGTTTAGCATTTGGTTTAGTAACACTTGGTCGTGGTAATCATTTAATGAATGTAACAACATCCGATGGAATATCAATACCTGATCAACTGAATCATTATATGTTAGGTGTACATAAAAAAATGTCTGCATTACAAAAAGAAAAAACTAAAACACCAAGTTATCATATACGTGAAGGTGATTGTATTAATGCCGATGTAACAAGTCCTGGTGCAACATTAGCATTAGGTATGATGTTTTTTGATACAGGAAATGCAGCTATTGTACAATGGTTAGAAGTACCTGCTACACAAAATCTACTTGAAATGGTACGACCAGATTTTCTTCTTTTACGTGTTTTAGCAAAAAATCTAATAATGTGGTCATCAATACGACCAACAGCCGAATGGATTGATTCACATATACCGGATATTATTTATGATAGTGCATTTCAACGTAATACAAATGTTGAAAAAGGTCTGGAAAATGAAATGATGTTTATCGATAATTTAGATTATGAAACAATGACACAATCATATTGTAATATTATTGCTGGTGCTTGTTTTGCATTATCACTTCGTTTTGCTGGTACAGCCAATGATCAAGCATTTCAAGTTGTTTATAAATATACATGTAAAATGGTTACATTAAGTCAAAAAGGTACAAATACACAGATTGAACAAGCTGGCCGTTCAACAATTGAATCATGTGTAAATGTATTGATTGTTTCATGTTCAATAATTATGGCCGGAACTGGTAATGTTGATATAATGCGTATTTGTCGTTTTTTACGTTGTCGTATAAATCAAACACATGTTTTATATGGATCATTTATGGCTATTCATATGTCATTAGGTTTATTGTTTTTAGGTGGTTGTCGAATGACATTAAATTCATCACCTGAATCTGTTGCTGCATTAATTTGTGCATTTTTTCCCAAATATCCAATACATACTAATGATAATCGTTATCATTTACAAGCATTTCGTCATCTATATGCATTAGCAAGTCAACCAAGATTATTAATACCAACTTGTATTGATACTGGTGTTTCACTTTATGCACGAATACGTTATACTTTTCGTAATGATAATAAAAATAATGATAAATCATTAGTGACTGTAGTGGAAAAAATGGCACCATGTTTATTACCGGATCTTAATCGATTAGAAACAGTTGAATTAATTGATCAAAATTATTGGCCAATTGAATTTGAAAATGGAAAAAATTTTATTAAATTACAACATTGTCTTACATCGAATAGTGGCCATCTTTATATAAAACGAAGAATTAAAGGATTTAGTTATAATAAAGATTTTATCTATAATAATAATAATGATAAAAATGTTGTTATTAATGGTAGCCGATTATCATCATTATCAAATGGACAACGATTTAATCAAAAAGTAAGTCATTTTGATTGACTGTTTTTCTCATTGTTTAATTAAATTGTTTTTTTTTCTGTTTATACAGCAAAGTTTTACATTGTTTGATTTTACCAATGAAACAATATTGAAAACATTTTCAAAAATTTTCAATCGTACTGGTCATCTTACTGATTGTGAATTACGTATGAAAAATAAGATTAATTCAATTTTATATGATTGTGCTGAAGATGAACGTTTGGATTTGTTTGTACCATCTATTCAATTGGTTGCTTCTTGTATGGCTATTGTTAATCGTTGTCAACAACAACAACAACAATCACCATTGATATCAAGCATGATGACAGCCAATAATGATGGTTCGATTGGTTCGAAAACAATCATCGAATATAAAGCAAATAAATCATTAATATTATGGCAAATACGAATGGCATCAAATTATCTTAATCATCATTGTTCAATGAAATCAATGATGTCAATATTTCGTATGATTGAAACAATTCATTTTCAATTAGAAGATCATATACGAACAAATGTTGAACGAAAAAAATTATTCGATTATATTCGTGGACAATCATCAATTCAACAGATTTGTAACAATAATAATAATAATGACAGTGATAATGAATCATTAATTGAATCGATTGTCTATTTTAACATTATACCGATCATCAATGATGGTAACCATATGATGAATAATACATTCAATATGATTAAATGGCTAAAACGTTCCAATCAATCGGCATTATTTTTATGTGATATATTGAAAAATTGTTCATTATAATTGAAAAATTTGTGATTTATTTGTCAAAACTCAAATTTAAATATTTAAAAAAAAATTAAAACTGAATTGCTATACTTTTTTTTTCTTTTAGTTTTAAAACATACAAAGAATGTGAGCGTAAAAATAAAACAAAGGGGACAAGAAAAACAATTGGGGATGTTTGTGTGGAAATGAGAATAAAAATCAGTTATAGAGTATATAAATGTGTTTGGAAATATCTTCATAAATTCATCATCATAATGCGATTAACTTAATTAGTTGATTAATTAACAGGTTATTGCCAATGGAGATTAGATGACACTCAATTCAAATTCATTCAGTTAAATCAGTCGTTTTTTTTTGGTTGCTGCTTAATGTTGGTTGGTCAAATTTTTTCTTCATGTACCATCATCGATATATAATCAATCTTTCCGCGTTTTTCTTTTATGTAATTCGGATTGTAATTGATGACTACTACTACCAGCACCACTTCGACCTGATATTGGTGAGGTAGTATTAGTGATATTGGTTTGATTTGTTGAAAAATTTCTTGTCATATTTCCGGCTGCTGATGATGTTACATTCAAACCGGTAGCTTGTGTGATTGTTGATGCTGTATGTGATTGTATGAATGACTGCAGATTATCCAATAACTAAAGAGAGAACAAAAAATCAGATAACAATTGTTAGTTGTAAATAAAAAAATGAATCATAGAAAAAAATATAACTTACAAATAACCAAAGTTGTTCAGAAAATTGATCAATAATTGTTACCAAACTAGGGTAATTGCCTGAATAACGACCAAAAACATAGACAATAAATATGGCCAAATCCATTGTACCAATAGAAACGAATATATTGGCAATTTTTTGTACACCGAAAACTTCAATGATACGTGCAGTCATAAAACAAATGAAACAGGCTACCAAAAGGATTAATGGTGTACCGAATAGGCTAAAAAAATCATTAATAAAAAAAAATTTAAATCCATTGTCATTCAAAAAAATTAATAAATATTACATACCCGAAAACATTTTTACTTTTATTTTGTATGGCAAAATGTTCGAATGCTTGAATTAATTCTTCTTCCAATCGTTCACGATATGATACAGAATATTCAGCACCTCCCATTTTTGGAATGGCATCAAATTCTTCCATACATTTGAACAGCAGGTCAGCATGACGTTGTTCCAATGTTGTTGGATTTATATATGGTTGATTTCCACCACAAATGCTTTCCATTTCATTTGTATAAATATCTTTTACAACGGCTACTGCATTTAGATTGTTTGCTTCAGCTGTAGCTTCCAACATTGTTTTCGGTTCGGGCATTGTATCACCAGCAAATACATTGATATAAACTTTGAAATATTCCAACAATTGTCGGCCGGTTATTGGTCGGCCACCGATTTCTTTGGGTATAATTTTATTCTGTGACAATAGGCTTGGAACAAATTGACGAAGGTGATTAGCAAAATCCGGATGATAATCATCAAGACGGCCATCAAAATTTTGTGCCGTAGCAACATTCGAACCAGGATGAGGCATAAGAAAGCAGCCAATCTCTTTGAAACATTCTCGTATTTTACGGCGAACACGTTGCAATTGTTCAGGCATTGTATCTTTAAGTTCTAATTTCTTTTCCAATAATCGATGACCACCATCAAATCCATATGGATGTTCATATGGATATGACCAATCACGTATAAGAAAAACTAATTTTTGAAATGGCTTCTCATGTACCGATTCCAATGCAAGACGGCCATATTCAAGGAAAATTTCCAATACCTGTAAATTATCTTCTTGTAGATTGTGCATTATATTAAAAACTTGTATCGATGATGTCATTGTAGACAATGCAAAAACAGTGGCTGAATCTTTTATAGTATATTCACTATCGAAGGCACCTTGTGTATCCATAAGAATGACGGCAACTTCTTTATTATCTTCAGTACGAACAATAAATGGTTCTGACCACATAAGTATACCGGTTGTATCACGTTGACATCCACCACGCCATGAAAATCCTTTTAATGGTGCTTTTGGATCAGATAACCAACCATCAGATGTTGATGATGGTGATGATGAAACATCATTTTGGTTATTATTATGATTATTACTATTATTATTGGTACTAGTTGCTTGTAGATATCCAAGAAAATGATTTAACATAAAGGATTTTCCTATAAATAAAAAAAAATAATAACATTAATCATAATTAACATTAGTAAATATTTAATCAATGTCAAATCATTTTGTTTATTTATTTTATTTTGTCAAAGCATATCATAATGGATCATTTATTTAATCTTTCTCTTCAGTCAGTGTGTACCTAGGTAACACAAATTACAGCATCATTATAATGAAATTTCCTTTTGTACATTTTCGACTTTGACAAGGAAACAAACAAACAAATTAATCAATCAATCAATCAATTCATTATATCTTTTCTTTTTTTCGTACACAAAAAAAATGAGTGAGAAAAACAAATAAGAACCTAATAAATTTCAAAACGATTTCTTTGTCTTTATAAATAGATTTAGTATTTTTTTAAATGGTTCATTCATTCATCAAAATCAAATAATCAAATTTTCTAATGATATGATTGAAAATTATCTGATTGATGTATGTGTGTGTGTAGTATATGTACCTCAATATGTTTACTATGAAATTGATGGTATGATTTGACTATGATGATGACTAATTAATAGCCAAATATAATTTATGAATTTTATTTCATTTTAAAAATAATAAATAAATAAATACCTTTACGAAAATCACCAGCAATCGATACAACAGCTACAGGTTTATCACGAATTGATTCACGTAATAATATTGATTCAAGTGCATCAACATCTAATTCAAATTTACGATTATCAGTTACTTTTACAATCTGTACTGGTTGTCCAATTGTTAATTGTTCCATTGGATTTGTAATCAATTCATAATCACCATTTGATGATGATGTTGATGAACCATTATCATTAATTATAACTTCATTATCATGATCAGCCATTATTTACAAATAATTTTTTTTTGTTTCAATTAATTAAAAAAAAACAGAATAAAAACAATAACAAAAACAAATAAAAAATGGGAATGCTGAGAAAAAGAAAGTTTTACAAGAATAAAACAAAAACAAATCAGAAAAAAAAACTATGAACAGACACCACCACCAACAATAACTCAGAAAGGAAGAATTTCAATGTTACAATGAAGGAAAAAGAAAATCTTTTTCAATTAATGTTCATCATCATCATCATCAAATTATAAAGTTTGGCCGAAAATGAAATTCCATTCGAAATAAGATTTTTTTGTTGAAGATGAAAAATTCTTTCCATACACACAAACTGAATGATGAAAATGAAAGAATTTGAACGCGTGTCACACATACAGTGGAAAAGAAATACGTAAAGCAAAAAAAATATGATCTTAAGAAGATCACCACTTGTAATGGTTAATTTAAACCAATGATGATGTCTGTACGTCGATGTTGATTGATATAATGATGTTTTGAGTATGGTTTTTGATGATGATGATGATGATGATGGCAATGTTTTAGCAAATGATGATAAAATTAATTTTAATTTTTTTCTGTTGATGATATTTGGCAACAAACAAACAAACAGAACGAAAAAAAAATATTTATCATTTGATTTGGTTTTGGATGAAAAAAACAAAATAGTGGTGGTAGTTGAAAAAAAGAAGGAAAAGTTACTCTATCAATTTGTTGACGACGCACATTCACACACAAGGCAAAAGCAAGTGTTTTGTTTTGTTTGTTTGGTTTTTTTTTCAATTTTTTTCATTGAATTTGAATGACGAAAGTAAAGGAAAGAAAAAAAGTTGCTGTTATAATTTTTTTTTGTGGAAAATTGTATAATAAAGATATGATTAGTTTATAATTTCCTACATTTCTTTGCTTGCTCAACACTTCAAAAACAAGATTTTTTTTGTTTCAAAAATTGATAATTTTTTTTTTGTCTTTTTTTCAATCGAAATGAAAAATAAACTTGACTAAATTGTGGATGCTGATATCAAGTTCAATCGAACGATGGCAAAAAAAAAAAACATTCGATATTCGTCATTTATGAATAAAGTCATTTTTTTTGTTTGCTCTCACCGTTAGGTGGCTCTACTTGGCTATTGGCGCTTTTGTTTGCCCGCTCGATTTTCTTTTTTTTTTAATGGCTGGATGTGTTGATGCTTTCTTTATTTCTTTCACCAACTTTCTATGTCTGGCACATGCTGTCAAAAAATTTTTGTTTGATTCAAAAAAAGACAATTTTGATTTCCCTCGCTTTTTTTTCTTTACTGAATAAAGATTTTCTTCGTTTGTTTTGTTTTGTTTTTCTTTGAATTTAATCAAATTAAATTATATCGATCTTTGATCATCGAACCGAACATCGAACAAAATGGGCGATTCAAAACAAGAAGCCGGTATAGTCGATTTTTGTTTTGTTTTTTTGATAATTTTTGTGGTAATTTTAAAATTTTTTTCTTATTTCAAACAAAAAATATAGCAGTTGAAGAACGTATTATTAATGAAGAATATAAAATATGGAAAAAGAATACACCATTTTTATATGATTTGGTTATGACACATGCATTAGAATGGCCATCATTAACAGCACAATGGTTACCTGAAGTACAACGTCCTTCGGGTTTAGATTATAGTATACATAAAATTATACTTGGTACACATACATCGGATGAACAAAATCATTTAGTTATTGCTACTGTACAATTACCAAATGAAGATCATAGTTTTGATGCAAGTTATTATGATGTTGATACAAATGAATATGGTGGTTTTGCATCGGTTGCTGGTAAAATTGAAATAATACAAAAAATTAATCATGAAGGTGAAGTTAATCGTGCAAGATATATGCCACAAAATTCTAATGTTATTGCAACAAAAACACCATCAAGTGATGTTTTAATCTTTGATTATACTAAACATCCAATTAAACCAGCTGATAAAGGTATAGAAATTTCTTCATTTTTTTGTTGATTTTGTCTTTAATTTCCATTTTTTGTTTCGTAGCTTGTAATCCTGATCTACGATTAAAAGGTCATCAAAAAGAAGGTTATGGCCTTTCATGGAATGCAAATCTTAGTGGACATTTATTATCAGCTTCAGATGATCAAACAATTTGTTTATGGGATATAAATTCAAATACAAGATCGGAAAAAGTTATTGATGCATTATCAATATTTAATGGTCATACATCAGTAGTTGAAGATGTTGCATGGCATTTATTACATGAATCATTATTTGGTTCAGTTTCAGATGATCAAACATTAATGATATGGGATACACGTTCAAGAGATACAAATAAACCGGCACAAGTTGTTGATGCTCATTTAGCTGAAGTTAATTGTTTATCATTTAATCCATTTTCGGAATTCATTTTAGCTACCGGTTCGGCTGATAAAACTGTTGCACTTTGGGATTTACGTAATATTAAAGTTAAATTACATACATTTACATCACATAAAGATGAAATATTTCAAGTACAATGGTCACCACATAATGAAACAATACTTGCTTCATCTGGTACTGATCGTCGTTTAAATATTTGGGATTTAAGTCGTATCGGTGAAGAACAAACAAATGAAGATGCTGAAGATGGACCACCTGAATTACTTTTTATACATGGTGGTCATACGGCTAAAATATCGGATTTTGCTTGGAATCCAAGTGATCCATGGGTTATATGTTCAGTTTCAGAAGATAATATTATGCAAGTTTGGCAAATGGTAAGTGTTATTTATTTTTTCCCGTTTATGTCAATATGTTTTTCTAACCAAACGAAAACTTTTTTTCTTTTCTTCACCCTATCCAAACAGGCGGAAAATATTTATACGGAAGAAGAAACGGAAGCAAATGCAAATGATCTCGAATAATAATAATGGTTTCTTTTTATGAATTGATTTGTGAAATATAACAACAACTACATATACCACACACATACACACATTACATCCAGCAGTATATATCTTATTATTCAAAACATCGTTTTTACGTTTACATAAGTTTTTCTTTTCTTTTTTCTTTTTTTCCTGTTTTACTCTCGAAGAAAACCACCATTGAAAAAATTGTATCAACATTATTATGAAATATCAAACAAACAATAATCCTATAAATTATCATAATTTTTTACCAGAATCTGATTCATTTGCTTTGAATTCTTTCACCACTTTTATTTAAATGATTAAAAAATGAAAAAAAAATTGTAGAAAATTTTTGTTTCGTTAATTTTAAGTCAATTTTATTTCCCATAATTTTAGCAAAACAAACAAAACAACAAACAAAAAAAATTGATTCAAGGAGAATGGCTAATGGGTGTGATTTCAGTGTAATTGATTATTTTTTTTTGTGGGGTATTTTTCACTTGTTGGATTTTTTTTTGGTTTTTTTCATTTGTTGGATTTTTTTTTGTTGATTTTTTGGTTTATTATTGCCATTGATTATCGTTGATGTTGTTGTTGTTGATTTGCTAAATGGGAAATAAAATTTATTTAAAAACTTTGATGAAACGGAATAAGGCAAGTGGGTGCCACATGGGTGGAATGGAATATGCTATCACTTTTGCCAGGCCTGACTAACCGAATCAATGTCCACCACTATCATCATCATCATCAGCATTATCATCATCAAAATTTGTATCCGATGTTAATGTTGATGATTTAGTGGACGTTGTAGCTATTGTCGACGATTGTTCATTTTCGATGTCATTATCGCTAAGCGTTGTTGGGGTTGTTGATGTTGATGTTGATTTATTTTCATCTGAAGAATTTTTCAATATTATTGCCGCTACAGTATCTACCAATGTTAATGATCCAAGATTAGTTTTTTTATCCAATATAACATCCAATGGATCTTGATGTTGATTATGATCATTATTAATAACATTAAAACCGGTTTTATATCTTTTATTATTATTACGTCGTTGACCGAAATAATTATTTGATAAAAATGATTGACCATTTGATTGATTTGTTGTAGATGTATTTGTGGTCATTTTTCCAAACAATCCACCATTCAACCATCTATATTTTATTTTTGGAATATAAAAGAATCAGAATATCCTTTCATTCAATTCATTATATAGACTTACCTATAAAATGGATGATGAATAGACATATTTTCATTAATTGTTGTTAAGCCATTATTATTAACGGGGTTTTGTTGATGAAAATGTCGATTTTGATTATGATGATAATTATTACGATGATGATGATGATGATTATGTGAATGATGATTATTATAATGATTATAATTAATATTTGATGGTCGTTGATGATAATGTTGATTAGTAGTAATGTTCATTGGTGGTCGATTTTCAATATTTTCCGTATCATCATCCTTATCATTATCATCATCATCGTCACCATGACTATCATTATTTTTGAATAAACGACCAGATCGGTTTGTTGTTGTTGTTGTTGTTGAACGATTCATGTTTGATGATGATAATGGTGAAGTTGGTGTTGGTGGTAATAATTTTAAACTAAATTCCAATGATTTATCTTCCAAATATTTTTGTGTAAATGATAGATTTTGTTTCTGAAATATACGTCGTTTTTCAATAAATTCTTGAAATTTTGCTTTACTTGGATATTTTCCCGAAAGATAATCTTTAACATCATAATCATCAAACCATTTACGAAATAGATATAATAATAGATTACGATATTCAACAAAACTATCGACAACATATAAAACCTGGCCAAGTAATGATTTTGAACGACATTTATCGGCTTTCATAAATTTATCATGTAAATATTGAAAATCTTTAAGAATTTCAGCAGAATTAAATGAACCATGACTAACATCATTCCAAGGTTCAATATGATCTTTTATACGTAATATTGATATTTTTTTATCCGTATTTGAATGATTACGTCCACCATGATTATGATGATGATGATGATTATTATTATCATTATTAAGATAATCACATTCAATATAATCACCATCATTATGTACAGAAATAATATGATTTTTGAAAAAATTTACATCACCAAAACGTTCAAAAAATCCCATCAATAAATATCCAAGTATAGAATTTGGATAAATCATTTCATTTCGTACTAATTCTTTAACGGATTCTTCTTGAAAAAATCGTATAACCATTAATGCTAATGCATAAGAACCGATACCACCATAAAATACTTGATTAGTACCTTTTGAAAGAAGATAATATTTTAAAAAGAACAAAATTTTCATTTGATGTGAATTTGGACGAATTTGATCACGAATATATTGTGAACGTTCCATAACATTGATTGTATTCAATGTTATATTGATTGGTAAACCGGTTAATGAATCATTAAATTTTAATAATGGTATTCGTGATAATGGTATAATAATAAAACGATTTTCAATAATACCATCATATGATAAACGTTCACCAATTAAAAATAATGTTTGTAATTCATCATTGACAAGATTACAATAAACAACAAGATCAATATCGCTTACAGGTAGATAGGTTTTTGAACTATAACTACCATAATATTTTACCTATAGGAAAACAAAACAAAAGAAAAAAAAGATGAAAATTTTCAATAAAAAAACAATGAAAAAATATTTTTCAAACCTGTTTAACAAACGGTAATTTTTTAATCGAATCAGCTAAACAAAAAAATGTTGCTTTACGTAATATTTCATCTTCTTTTAATGGTTTAATAAATGAATAAAAATCATTTAATTCTACATGAATTTTTTCATATATTGTTTCATATGAATCGTTTGTTTGTTGTTGTCGATTCAAACATTTTTCTTTATTTTCATCAACATCATCGTTGTTACCAGTATCATTATCATCATCATGGTCATCACCATTATCACCATTAACATTATCATTATTATGATGATTATTATCTTGTAAATGATTTTTAAACCATAATTCACCTTGATATTTATAAATTTGACATAAATTCCTCACTACACAGTCTGGAAATTTTAAATTTTCAACATAATATACATTATCTTTACGTGATATACATTCATTATGGCGGCCATTTATTTCGAATGATCCTTTATTTAATGATGAACGTTTTATAAAACTAAAATAATTTGGATGTTTTCGTCGTTGTTGTTGTTGTTGTTGTGAATGTGATTGATAATGATTATGATTATGATAATTATAATAATTTGAATATTCATAAATTTCTGATTGTTGAATCAATGATGATGATGATGATGATGATCCATAATGTTGATTATTCAAATTATTTAATGATTGCATCATTGATTGTCGTTGTTGATGATGATGATAATTTTGACCATTATTTCCACCATTACGGTTCGCTGTTGCGGTTTTTGTTGTTGCTGTTGTTGCCGATCCAGACGCATTGGAATATCTTGGTGTTGTTTCTTCAATCATCATTTTTTTTGGTTGTTGAAAGAAATTCGGTGACAATATCAGTGAGAAAATGATGATTATATTCGGTGATGTATCAAAAATCAAAAATCGAAAGAAGAAAAAATCATTTAAAACGAAAAAAATGATTTTCTTTAAATAATAAAATGCGTTTGAAAATGTTTCTCAGTTCAAAGCCAATGAATTCTCCGAAAAAAAACATAATGGTCATATTATTTTACTTTTAAAAATTTTGCTGATTAATCAGGTCACATCATGATTTCAATCTCAATTGAAACTAAAACCGAAAAACATCATTGAGTCATTATTCGAAATGTTGTTGGTTTTTTCGTTTTTTCCAAACACTCACCGACATTTTTACACATGAATCAATTGAAACACAAAAAACAAAAAAACTTGAAAAACAAAATTAGATTTTTGTTCAGTAAAAAATATAGAATTTATTTTTGTTTGAGGATATATTATTATCATCATTATTGATTAAGATATTTATATATAATTAGTTCATTAAATTCTTTCGCAATTAACAGATAACATTTGTTTGAAAAATATATATTTGAAAAAAAAACAAAATTCTTTCACATTTGAATAATGATTTTGATTGATTGATGATTTGATGAATATTCTATATTTTTGTATAGAATCGAATCACACTTCAGAATCTTATTGGTTAAAGAATCGACCACGATTCTTTGTTTTTGTTATTTACATTTTTTGTTACTTTGTCCACCACCACCACCGGATTCGATTTCGAATGTTTTTTTTTTGTTTGCTGAAGATTTCCCAGAAAAATTCTTTTCGGTGTGTATTTATAAATGTGATTGGGAAATTTCTTTGATTGATTCGATTTTTTTTTCACCATGGTATTTCCCTCTCTTTTTTTCCGTGGATCGATTCTTGAGTTGATTTTTTTTTTTGATTGATTGATGATCGGTGATTGATGATGATGAAAATGATGAATATCTCAGTGGTAGTTAGTTTCAAGAAAAAAAAATGAATAAATTTTTTAGAGCTCGTTATGAATTTATTGATGATTGTTTTCCCGATTCAAATCGATTTCAGGTTGCTTTGGATGGTGGATTCAAAACGGTAACAAATTCTTTTGGTAAAAAGTAAATTTGAAAAAACATTAAGAATTTAAAATTCCTCACTCTCTGTTTTTTAGAAATCTTACCAGTATAATTAACTAAACCATCACCATCTAAATCAGCTTCACGTATCATATCTTCAACTTCTTCATCGGTTAATTTTTCACCAAGATTTGTCATAACTAACCTTAATTCTGGTGCCGATATAAAACCATCACCATTACGATCAAATACACGAAATGCTTCTTTTAATTCTTCTTCTTTATCTGTTTCTTTCATTTTTTTCGACATCATATGTAAAAATTCATTGAATTCAATCGTTCCGTTACCTGTTTTTTAACATTGTGTAAAAACAAAGCAAAACAACGAAAAAAAAATCATTCATCATTGTCAAATTTGACATTGAAAACAAATTTTTTGGATGATTTATGAAGACTTAAAAAACTTACCATCTTGATCAACTAAAGTAACCATATTTTTTAATTCAGCATCCGATGGACGTTGTCCTAATGAACGCATTACAATACCTAATTCAGTTGCCGTTATACGACCATCTAAATCTTTATCAAATAACATGAATGCCTCTTTAAATTCGGCTACCTGTTCATCGGATAGTCCATAATCGGCCTAATTTCAAATTTAATTTTGCATTCAAAAAAAACTTTTCCATCAAATGTTTAGTGGTAAGTCTTACCATTTTCTTCTTTTTTTTTTGAAGCAGTTTATTTGAATATGATAATTAAATTTTGTGTTGTTTTCACTTCTAAATGCAGATGATGATGATGATGTTTATGAACCGAGCTAAAACTAAACAAAACGGATCAATGATTCAAGAATTTCTAATTTAAAAAAACAAAAACAAAATCAGCTATCCGTTTTGTTTGTTGAAACGACGAACCAAAATGAAAAAATTTACATGGCAAAAGCAAACAAAAATGTGATGATGATGATGAAAATCAAAACAAACGCATACACACAGTTGATTTGATTCGGGCAATAAACAAACAAACAAAAATCGATTAATCGATCAATGACCGATTAATTAATCAGGTGATTTGATGTTTTTTTCCAGGCTGATAAAATATTCAAATCAAAAAAAAAAATCCTTCACTTCTTTATCAATCAATAAAATCTAATTTGATGAAAGTTTTTTTCTTTTTCTTCACAGGAAAAACAAAAACCCCGATTTGATGTCAAAAAAAATCAACCAAAGAAAAACATTGAATATGAAATTGCCAAACCAAAAACAACATGAAAAATATGACAAGCAAAAAAACAAAAACAACAAAAATCTTCGAAGGTTATTCCCTGTAATAATTTTCTGTTTCGACAATTTCGACAAAAACGAAAACGAAAAACAACAGGAGGAAAAAAACAAACAAACACACACACAGTAGATTGGATTAGATTTCAGAATTTTGACGAGAAGAAAACTAAGTAAGTAAAAGAAGAAATTTCAATGATGATTGTCCTCAAAATGATATTTGTATTTTTGAAAGATTTTTTTCGTTTTGCTGCTGATGTTTTGGTGAAATGCGATGACGAAGATTTTGGAAGATGATGAAGATGACGAAGACAAAGATGTAATGCCTGAATGAATGATGATAATGATGATAACGACAATCGACAATGATGATGATGATGATGATGGTGACAATGGATAATGGATAATATCGATGTCTTTTTTTTTGTTTTTGTTTTTTCACAAACAAACATCCATCTACAATGTAGGTGTTTTTTTGTTGTCTATGTTTTTTTTTCATTAATTCAATTCAATTTTTGTTTCTCTTTCTCTCTTCCATTCACTAACTGTTTTCTGTTATGAATCAGATTTATAATGTTTGTTTGTTTTTTTCTTGGATGATTTCCATATAAACATCAACATTATCATCGGTATCGGCATCATGATGATCATGATCATGATGATTATAATCAATAACAACGTTATACATTACTACAACAAGGAATATATATGTACACATCATTCATTCAGTATCTTTTTCCCGTCAATACACATGTATGATGGTATGTTTGACTTTTGTTTTGTTTTGTTTTGTTTTTATTATTTGAATTTGATCATTTGAGGATTGTGAATGCCACCCAACAACAACAACACACAGACACAGAAACACACATATATTGTTGTTATTATTATTTGCCCGGGTTAATGATGATATTGTGATGATGATGATGATGATGATGAAATAACAACAATGAGAATATTATTGAACATTGATTCTATGTTTATTCAATGATTCACAAACACAATAAGGCTAGTGTATTTGGTTTGGTTTGATGTGATTTTTTTTGGCTTGGCTTGGTTTATTTTCTCAAATGAATTTGCCAAATATAATTTTTTCCAGTTTTTTTTCAAATTTGATTCAATTTTTTTTTGAAAACTTTTGTTCTCTCCATCTCCATCTCTATCCACCCATCTCTATTCACTGGGTTCATTTTGAATATTCAGGGCATTTTTTTCTATGGAAAAAATACGGTACAAGCCAACTGAGTGTTAATTGAGAAGTTGAGAAATAACTGTTGAGCGTTGTTTTCTTTCGTTGTTTTTAGAATAGAAAAAAAAATTTCAAATAAATCTCCCTGGTAACTTTTCATGGAAAGAAAACACAAAAATGCAAATTCAAAAAGCAAATTTTTTTTTTTTTGAAAAAAATTTGAATTAATTTCGACTATTTCAACCCTCACATGACACAGATAGTTTTTTCAACAAAAATGTAATAATTTCATTTTATTTGATGTAAAGAATTTCATTTCATTTCAAGAATTTGCCATTTTTTAAAGAATTTTCGTTTTTTTTTATTGTTTCAAGATGTTTTTTTCAATAGAAAAAGTAGATTCAGCAGATTGGTTTTATTTTATTTGATTATTTCATTTGTTGTTGCCAAATTTGATTATTTAATTTTCAAAAAAAATTTCAATTTTAAAATTGAAATTCTTTCAAACAAACGACTATTTCAACAAATGTGACTGAACAACCATTGACATTTTATTGAATTGAAATTCATTCATTCCATCATTCTGTTTGTCTATTATGGATGTATCTGGGTAGTTAATTTATATTTTTTTTCTGTGCGAATGATAATAGCAAATTTTTATTGTCGTTCGTTCGTTCGTTGTTAACTTTTTTGTTTTTTATTTGTTCAAATTCTTTATTCTTTATTTTCACAATGAATTTGTTTGAAATGAAAACGTTGACAACGACAAACAAATAGAAAATTTTTTTCAAGTGTTACGTTGTTGAAGGTGTTTTGCAGAGAGAAAATTTAAAATTTAAATTTTCTTCTTTGCTTTGAACATGTCGTTATTGTTGTTTGAGTTTGATCAATAAACACACACACAGAATTTTTCAGAAAAGTTTCCAGCAAAAAAATTACACAAATTAACATTTGAGAATTATTTTATTTCATTTGGCAAGAAATTTGAATTTTTTTTTTAATTGAAAAATTCAAAATTTGATATTTTGAATAGAAAAAGAGAGAAGAGAATTTGTGAAAAACGAGAATCCCGAAGAATTCTGTGTGAAACCAGAATCCAAAAAAAGAAAAGAAAAAACTTATTATTCTGAATAAGGTTTTCTGTTGCAATGTTCCGGTTTGTTTTTTATATAATCATTTTGATCATCAACATCAACAGCATCATAATAATAAAAAAATGCGCCGTCGTTGTTGTTGTTGTTGTTTTTTTTTAATGTTATGAATATTATCTTTCATCACTTTGATGATAAATAACTAAATTAACCAGAAAAAACACACACAGTGAAAAGAAAAAAAAACAAGAAAAGGTGAGAGAATCGTATATAGAGAGAGAATTTTCTCAAAGGTAAAATATTCTGCATGGACGGTGATGATTCTGTCTTGTGATGATGATTCTTTGATGATCAAAACAAAATAAACGACGACGATGATGAACACTGATGATGTTTGATGTTTGTTTATGTCTGTTTTTTTGGTTTTTGTTTCTGAAACACCATATTAAAATCAGAAATTCGTTTCGTTTTTTTCGTTCAAAAAGAATCGAATGAAGAAAAGTTATCTTCAGTGAAGCAAAGCAAAACAAATTCGTGAATAGGTGAGAGATGTACCTGAGAATCAGGTAATGAAAAAAAAATAGTGGTAGTGGTTTATTTTAATGTCTGGAGATAGGTGTGTGTGTTGGTCTTTGGACTGTGCCACTACCATATTCTTTGTTGGATCGATGATTTTTTGAAGACCTGTTTTCCTGAATTAAAAAAGATTTTCGATTATGAGTATTCACGAAAAAATGATGATGGGGGGGGTTTCAAATTTTAAAATTGGAAAATTTCCCGGAAAAATTTTTCTACTTTAGTTAATTTTTTCCGGATAAAACCAAAATTATTCCAATCAGCAATAATAGTTTTATCATTGTCATTGTTACCTGGTTGTTTTGTACATTTTATCCAAAAGAATAAAGCTCACAATATGGCTTCAAAAAATGTTCAAATCAAAAGATGAAAAGTTTCAATTTGATTGAAACAATCTAAAATCAGACCTTTTCAATGATGATGATTTTCATTTTCAAAAAGTTTTTCCTCGAAAAAAGTTTTTTTTTTGTAAAATTGAATTTTGAAACAAAAAAAGAATGACAATTCTTTATTGGTTTTCTCTCTTTCTCTCTCTCTCGATCTTGGTTAACACTTGTCTCTGCCAGTACCGAAGACCTATATTTCTGGTTTTTACCGGTTTTTTTTTTTGAGTTTTCGGTTTCCCTTTTCCATATTGATTTTCTGTTGTTGAAATGGTTTCATTTTCAATTTTTTTTCCGGGAAATTTTTTCTCGTGCAAAAAATGAAATTTCTAAAAAAAAATTCATTCAATTTTTATGAAAATAAAGAATCCATTTGATTCTTTGTTCGATTTTTTTTTCTGCTGTTGCACTCTGTGTGTGGTTTCCTTTCATTTCTACCAGAATGTTTACCTTTGTTTTTTTCTACCTAATATTGCAAACTTACTGAAGAAACCAGAGAAATACACAGACAAAAATGGAAACATTTCGATCTTTTTCATTCATTCATTTGATGATGATGACTAATAAACATATAACGAATGATGATTGATTTTTTTCTTGGTTGTTTGTTTGTTTTGTTTGTTCGATTTGATATCGATCTGATTTTCCTCCAAAACAAAAAAATTTAATTTTTTTTTTTTTAAGAAAAAATGACAGTTTTCGAATGAAAATCTCAAGTTTGTTTTCTTTTCTTTTCTTTGGCCTGTCATTTTCAATAATGTAGTCACCGTTGTCGTTGTCGTCAAGCAGAATTATTAATTGAATATTTACCTTTACCTTCTTCATCATCATCATCATCATCATTACCGTCATTATCATCACCGTCATTATATTAGGAATTCCAAAAATGGAAATATTACCAAAAAACAAGCAAGCAAAAAAAGGAAAAGGAAAAACAAACAAACGCAAAGAAAATAAAGATTATTCTCGAAAAGTGATGATTCTTTTTTTCCTTTTCTTTTCTTTTTTCTATATCAACAATATTTACTCAAAAATGAATTTCATTTTTTTCCATTTATAGAATATTCTTTCACTTATTGTCATCATCAAATTATGATTATGATGATGACGAATAGAATTTAGTTCAAGATATTTCTACTTACCTGTGTCTGTCTGTCTTACCTGCGTAATGTGTAAATTAGTTAAACTTTGACAAGAAAATCAGTGGGTGCCATGTTTATTTCTAAAACAAGACAAACTTTCATTGAAATTCTTTGCCATTGTTTTACGTAATTCTCTCGCTCTCTCTCTTTCTTTCTTGCTTTCTTTCTCTAAATTATTCGGCAAAAGATCCGGTCTATTTTTATTTTTATTTTTCAATTTTCATTCGTTTGCTCTACTTTTTTTTTCTTCCTTTCTTTCTTTTAAATAAACCGAAAATGACCTCGAAACAAAAGAATAAAATAATCCTGATTGATTTGGAAATGTAATGTCCGAATACAAAAACAAAAACAAAAACAAAATAAACTTTTTCTCTCTTTCTTCCACTCTATTTCTCTAACTTATTAAATGCATGAAAATCTGGAAACATCTTAAACTATACCACTGTAAATATATATGGACATAATTTTGAATATTTTCTTCTTTTACATGTATATATTTATAAATATTGAATACGAAAAGATTATTCATGAATCCTGTCTTTGCAGTGTGTGTAATGATGATGATGATGATTCTGTATTTGAATGTTGATGATCATCATCATTATCCAGGATACAGAATACAGAATCATTTTGAATTAGTTTTTTTTGTTTGTAGAATCAGTATAGGAAAACGAAACCTAAGCTAAAACTAAGCTAAGATAATTCTATAAATAAAACAACAACAACATCCAATGATGATTATGATTATGATCATCATTTTCTTCATCTTTACTTTTACTTTTACTTTATCTAACTATCTATTTATCTATCCTGGGCAAACTAAAATATTTTTCCATTTCAAATACCATCATCATAATCCTCATTCGTTGAAATGAATTTTGCTTCAACAAAAAAAAAGGAAAAAGAAAAATTCACAATATTCAAAGATTTTGCTTTTTCAACTTTGCTTTAGTCGAAATAAACAAAACAAAAAAAATCTGGGTGATGATTTTTTAGCTGTTTTTTTGTATTCGCTTTTTTCATCTATTCAACCTGATTCTTTTCAGCATGCAAGAGAGAGAGAGAGAGAGAGAGAGAGAGAGAGAGAGAGAGAGAANAAAAAAAATCTGGGTGATGATTTTTTAGCTGTTTTTTTGTATTCGCTTTTTTCATCTATTCAACCTGATTCTTTTCAGCATGCAAGAGAGAGAGAGAGAGAGAGAGAGAGAGAGAGAGGGAGAGAGAGACAGTAAAATCATCATCTTTGTTTACATTCAATTCAATTCTTTTTGGCTATATAATGATTCTTTGAAACATTTTTAGTTTTGGCAATATGCTCTCTTTCTCTATGATATATCAAAATCTAGACCGAAAAAAATATGATCTTCCAAAAAAAAAGATGCAACCTAAAATGATGATTTTTTGGTTGCCAAGAATCTCGAAATAATTTTTTTTTTCATAGAAAAAAACCAATAATAAAATTACTGATTCTGAATGCTGTATGGTTTGTGAGAGGAAAATTCATATTGTTTTTTTTTTCTGTTCTGTTCAATTCAATGGTAAAATTCTGGCAATAATAACGAATCGATCATCATTTGAATTCAAAACGAATTCAAAAAATACCATATGTTTAGAAATCAAGAATATTCTTTAAAAATTTTTGTTTGCAATATTTATAAAAGAAAGAGTGTTTGTATGTGTGATTGAGGGAAATGAATAATAAAAAGCAAAGATTCTTTAGAATTTCATTTCTATTACGACCATGGAAATTCTCTGTGTATAATTTCTTCTTCAAGTGTATATTTTATCGCAAATTCTATGTTTGTTTTTGGTTTAAATTCTTAGCATCACACATTTCCCTCTCTTTCTCTAGTCTAATATGTGATGTGTTTATCAAGAACAACAACAACAACAACTAAGTATAGGATGAAGAAAAGAACAAAAAAAATTAACCATTTAGGTTTTTACAGGGAAAATACGGGCGTGATGAAGCATTTGAAAATGTCGGTTGCCAAAAATGGTTTGATCATTTTTTTCGCTTAACACAGAATTATGGTTTTCGTGTGTAGATGTTTTTAGGTTTTTTCTTTCTTCTTCTTCGAGAATTATTATTATTATTTTTGATTTTCACGATAATAATAGATTCTTGATGAAAAAGAATCAAGTAAGAAGCAAGCTAGAGACTGAGAGAGAGAGAAATTCTTTCGTTTTTGTTTTTCACAGTTTGTTTTAGTGTAAGAATCTCGTAAGAAACAAGAAGAATATTCTTTTCTTTCTCTTTCATTCACTTTCTTCGTTGAATCTTTCGTTATTTATTTTATTTTATTTATATCGTGAATTTCATTCATTCACACAAATTGATTTTTTTTTCGTTTCAATTTCAGTTTTTTCGATACAGTTAAAACCTGAAAATCCTTATCCAAAATGGTAAGTAATTATTTTTTTTTGTCTGGATCTTTTTCCTGTTTGTTGTTGATTCATTATGAATTCTTTTTCGATTGATTTTTTCCTTATCGTTTTTTTTGTTTTGTTTCGTACGTACATTTATAGTCTGTCGAAGAATTGACCAAAGAACAGGTGCAAAGTAAGTATTTTTCGTTTCGTTTCGTTTCGTGGATTATCAATTTAATTAATTGAATTTTTTTTTTTGCTTTTTGTTTCATTAAATTAATTAATTAATTTTTGAACACAAACATAAACTAAAACTCGAAACTGCTGTACAGTGTTGCGAAAAGCATTCGATATGTTTGATCGTGAAAAAAAAGGACACATTCATACGAATATGGTATCCACTATTTTAAGAACATTGGGTCAAACATTCGAAGAAAAAGATTTACAAACATTGATTACTGAAATTGATGCTGATGGTAATTTTTTTTTTGTTTGTACATTTTTTGTTCATTTCTTATTAATCAATCAATCGATCGATTATTTATTTATTTGTGATTGATCAAATTTCCTTATTTATTTTTTTCCGTAGGTAGTGGTGAATTAGAATTCGATGAATTCTTAACATTGACAGCTAGATTTTTGGTTGAAGAAGATGCTGAAGCAATGCAAGAAGAATTACGTGAAGCATTTCGTATGTATGATAAAGAAGGTAATGGTTATATACCAACAAGTGCATTACGTGAAATATTACGTGCACTTGATGATAAATTAACTAATGATGAATTGGATGAAATGATTGCCGAAATTGATACTGATGGTTCGGGTACTGTTGATTTTGATGGTAAGTTTTCATTTTCAATAAGAAAACAGCACTGTATAACTGATGTACTTCCTTATCTTTTCTTTTTCTATTGAATAATTTATTTTCATTGAAAAACAAAATAGAATTCATGGAAATGATGACTGGTGATTAAAAACGTTACACTCTAAAAAAGTTACGCCAAAAATACATTCATCTGCATTCAGACAACAAAAGAAAAGAAATAAGAGCTGCCCTCACATTTATACAGCCAAACAATCAAACAACCTGAAATCAAATCAATCGATAAAACATCTGCTTTACAAAAACAAAAAACAATGGCAGACATTTATAAATGATGTTAATTGAAAATTGAAAATTTATTTAATTTAATTTAATTTAATAATTAAAAAAAACAACCACATCAATTATTTATTTGAAATTTAAAAACTAAAAAAAAAATTGAAATTTTGAATTTTTTTATTTTGTGCAAATTTTGTTGAACACAGTTTTTTTTTGGATAAAAATTGGCAAAATTTTTTTCTTTTGTTTTAGTTTTAGTGTATTGGTCGGTCGGTGGTAGAACAAAAGTGAAAAGCAATCAATTTTTTTTTGTTTGGGTAAAATGTAATCAAAAGAAAAAATATTATCAAAAAATATTTTTTGAATTTTTTTTTTGGTTTTTCGAAATTTCAAAATGTTTCGTGTGTTGTGTGGGTTGATATATAGTTGCCGCCGATAACAACCAACCAAGAATAATAATAATGATCTGTTGTAATACAAAAATGATTGATAATAATAAATAAATTGGATAGTGTAGGGTGTTTTTTTTATGCTTTTGCGTTTTTTTTCTCTAAATTGGATCATTATTATTATGAATGATTGATTGATTGATTGATTTGAATTTATTCATCGCATGATAATAAATTTCGTGATTGTTTTGAGCTATTTACAATATTGATTGTATCTGAATCACCAATACCAATGTCAATGAGACAACCATGAAAACCATAATGATAAAGACCTTGTGTCATTAATTGATAATCAGGTAGACCACCAAAATAAATATCACCATTAGCATTTAATGTATTTTTATTACCAGGTGATTGTCCATAATAAATACGTTCATCAACACGTACACTACCTTCTTGATCTTTTAAACGTAAAACAATATGATGTAATTCACCATCATCGATTGTATAATCAGTTTGTATATAACCTGGTCCACTACCCAAATCAAATGTCATCTGTATTTTACTATCATTAATCGATACAGCAAGAAAATCTGATCGTAAACCCGGTGGATATTCTTCATAATTTTCTGATGGACCATAAAATACTAATAAACCATTTCGAGCAAATGTACGAAATTTGAACCGTATTTCAATTAGCGTAGGCTGTTGTTGTTGTTGTTGTTGATGATGATGATCATTAATGATTGATTGTATTTGTTGCTGTGCAGGTTGTTGAAGATGATGATTAATTATGATTGATTGCGTAATAAATGATCGATCAAATCGTATATAGGATTGACCATTCATCCGTACAGAACGTGGATTAGCAAATTGTATTTGTTGTTGACAACGTTGACCAGTATAACCAATTGGACAATGACAAAAATATGAATCCTGTTCATAATTTTCACATTCACCATTATTTTCACAAGGCATTGTTTGTTCACAAAATCCTTTTTTATGTTCACAATGATTTCCCATATGATTATCATCACAAATACAACGATATGATGTTTCATTAAGCTCAAGGCAATTTCCATTATTTAAACAAGGTGTACGTTGACATAATGAAACAATACCACAATTATCAACATTATTTGATTCAATTTGATTACGGGCAAAATCAATATTTTTATCATTGATTTTTAACTATTTTAAATTGAAATGAAATTTTAAAAAATAATGTAAACCGAAATAAAATAAAAACATACCTGACTAATACAACCATTAAAATTATAAAATTGATGATTAATATTCGATGGTAATGAAATTCGAGTACGATTATAACCACCAATATATAATGGTGTACCAAGATTTAATCCAATAGTTTTTCCAGGTGTACGACCTGAAATTGTATCCATTAAATGGCCTTCGATTTGTAATTCAGCATCATGTCCATTACGGCGAACGACTATATCTACCCATTCATGATCGATAAGTATCATTGTACTTCGAATGATAGCAGCACCGGAACCAGTATCAAAACGAAATTCAATACTTTTATTGACAATTGCCAATAAAGCATAATCACCGGTACCATTTTCAAATTGACCACAATATAATAACAATTGATTTGAAGATGATGATGACGATGAAAAATCCGGTTTAATACGAATTACTAAATCAAATCGATTCAATGTATTTGATGGTGTACGAAAAGCTAGAAAAGCATCATTACGAAATAATGGTTCCAGAATGATAATCGATTGTTCACAATGACGACCAATACGTCCAAATGGACATTCACATCGATATTTTTCAATAGGATCTTTTCGACAATAACCATCATTACAAATACCGGGTAAACAGATTTCAGAAAATGATTGACAATTTTCACCATTGTATCCAGGTGGACATTGACATTCATAACCTTTAAGTTTATGAATATTTTCATGACATACACCACCGTTTTGACATTGTTGTTGTTGTTGTAAACCACATGTATCACAATGACCAATACCAAATTGTTGTGTAGAATTTTTAATTAAATCAAATGATTGTGAATTTGTTTCGAATAAACTTATACAGCCAACAAATCCATGATTAAAACCATCAAATTGTGAAATTAAATCCGAATCCGGAACATTACCAATATATAATGGTGATGAAAGATCCAAACCAATGAATTTTGCAGCTGAACTAGTTGATACTAAATCTTGATCATCGACACGTAGTTTTCCAATATTACCATTACGTGTAACATGTATTAAATGCCAATGATTCATAGTGATTGGTTCAGCAGAACGAATTGATGAAGTACCACCACCCAATTCATAATAAAATTCTACATAATAATTTCTAAGACCAAGTGAAATAAAATCACCTTGTGAACCATCTTTTTGTTGACCACCAATATAAAAAATCAAGCCATCAGATTGTTCCGGTTTAATTCCGATTGATAATTCTAATGATAAATATACATTGGTTAATGTTGGTAATGTAAGAAAAGATATTGGTGATTGTTGAAAATGTGGAACATTTCGTTCAATCGATACAATAATCGGTATCATAGCTGTTTGAATCGATTGAATTCCATTATCAACCATACAAACATATGTTCCAGTATCTGAACTGGAAATATTTGCAATAATCAATGTACCATTTGGATAAATTTTTATCGTAGAATTAATAATAGATTCAATAATGGTTTTTTGTTGAAAATTTGTTGAATTATATTTGATCCATTTGAATGATAACGAGAAATCGGTTGTTTGTGGACGAAAACCACATGAAAGAATTAATTCATCACCTAATGGTATTATTCGTTTTTCGGCTATTTTAACCGTTTCGAATGTTTGATTATATTCATGAATAAGCGGTAAATTATTTTTCAATGATGATTCTAAATGATGATGTTTGAACCAAGAAGAGAGAAAAAAAGTGTTATTAAAAATTTTAAATTCTTTCCAAAAAAATCATAAGCATCTTACGTATGAATCGAAGCAAATTAGATTAGATTAGTCCAATGCAATTGGTAAGCAATTAGTTTTGAAAATTCAAAAAAAAATTAGCAAAAAAAATGAATGAATGAATGAAAAAAAAACCCAATGTCATATACCTTGAATAACAAGAAGATAATCGGCATGAATTTTAGTTTGTTGATCATTTGTTGAACATCGATAAACACCACCATTTTCATAGGTAATATGTTTGATTTGTAAACGATTTTGATCAATATGAACATTCGATTCGAATTGTTGTTGTTGTTGTTCACCATTATCATTACCATCAATCATTGACCAACGTATCGGTATCGTACCAGGATCATCATCTTTTTCATTCAATAAACATTTCAATACTAAAGTATCATCCAAATTGATTAAATCTTTATCGGCTTTAATACGAAGATCATTGATTAAAATGGCTAGAAAAATGGTAGAAGAAAAAGAATGAATGCAAAATTGACTCAAAACAAAAACTTTTATAAAAATCAAACTTACGAACACAAGAATCTTCATCCGATTGATCAATACAATCAAACAATCCATTACAACGTAATAAAATATCAATACATTCACCATTTGTTGTACACATAAATTGATTTGAATCACAATTATGATATTTAGGTTGTTTAATATTTAAAATTATAGCATTTTGTTCAACTAATGATCCATTCCAAATAACATGACAAAAATATCTACCAATATTATTCATTTGAACTGATTGAATATTTAATAAATTATGAACAATTTTAACATTATCCGGTAAGAATTGTTTCGATAAATATTGATTATTATTATTCGAATCCGATAAATTTTGTTTCAATTGATAATTATAATCAAATTCCCATTCAATATATAAATCTTCATTTGATTCAACAAATTCAGTTGGACAACGTAACAATAGATTTGCACCTAAAATTGCAAATTCTTCACGAACATTTTGTGCATCATGTTTATCAACAACAATTAATTCGGCCATTGCTTCTACACGTCCAGCACCATTAACAGCTGTACAAAGATATTTTCCCGCATCCGTATATTCGATACCATAAAATATTAAACGACTGGTTATTGTTTTCATCGATCGTATACCATCATTCATTATATCATCATTATGATGATGATGTACATCATTTTCAGTAACAACAATACCAGTGGGCAGTTCACTATCAATACGGCTCCAAGTAATTTGGGCCATCATTGATTGATGATTATAATTATGATGATTATGATCATTGTTATTATCATCATTATCATTATCATAATAATAATTATTATCATAAAGATCATCATTATTATTATTATTATTTATATCATCAATAAGAACCGCCACACAATTAATAATGGCAGTGTCACCTGGACGTACTGTTTGTAATGGTGGATCGATTTGTATTTTAGGGGGAACTAAATAGGGAAAATAAAAAAAATCAATCAATCAATCAATAAACATTGATTTAGTTTTGGCTATTGATATAAGCTATAAGCTAAATTTTCTATCTTAATCAATCAATCAATTAATTAATTAATTAAATAATTATTACCTTTTGCCCAGGTACCTTGCCGTAATCAATGCAAGCAGTATGATAATAAGAGAGGAAAGCAAAATGACAATAACCGCGCTTTCAATTAACTTACCAACGACAGCTAAACGTGCACGATTTTTAAATAACATTTGTGATTGATGTGTATTTGGATCATCCAGATAGCCAAGACAATAATAATCACCACTATCTTGTGGTTTTACCTGATCAATTGTTAATGTTCCATTTTCAACACGTGATCCATCCGGTAATGAAATATTATTTGCACGTATCCATTTAATAATAATATTACGTTTTGTACCACGTACAAAACAACGTAATTCAGCACGTGAACCAGCAGCAACTGTTACAACTTTTTCTTCCACACTAATATCAGGTATTGAATTGGAATTTTGTTCCACTATTAGTTGTATTCGTTCTTCGGAATTTCCCATTGATGATTGTAATGAACAAACATAAATTCCATTATCATCAGGTTGTACTGATTGTATTTGTAATGTTGCACGATTATCTTCAATCGAAACTGAATGTCGTTTTCGTTCGAAATTTTTATTATTATTGATCGTTTGATTATTCATATGACCATTATTTAATTTATGCCAATTAATTTTGATTGGTCCACGTTGACCATTATTCGATGAACGTATATTTGATTTACATTCTAAACGAACAAATTCATTTTGTCGTACACGATATGGTGTATTTTGTAGAATTTGTACACGTGGAATTTCTGGTAAAAATAATGATGTTTGTGCTTGGGCACGACCGGCCAGATTTTCCGCACTACAAACATAAACACCTTCATCATGTTGATCAATTTGATCGAATTGTAATAGGCCACCATTAACCTGTGCATTCGATGTAAATGGTGAACCATCAAGACGACGCCATTCAACTGTTGGTTCCGGTATACCGCCTGTTACTCTACATTGAAAATATGTGCTTTGAAAATAAGACAAAATGACAAAATGATAAAGTTATTTCCAATTAATCAACTTTTTTAAAAAATTTACCTTGAACCTTCGCTAAGAACAACACGATCAATTTCAATCGAAGGTATTTGCCTTCGTTCAATTTCGACAAAAGCCGATGCATTACTAACGCCATCTATATTTTCAGCACGACAAACATAAATACCACGATCTTCAATTTCCATTCGACGAATAAATAAACGATCACCATCAATTTCATGACGATTACCATATGGATCGATTTGATCATATAATTTTAGCCATGATATTGTTGGTCGTGGTTGACCACTTGTAATACAACGTAATTCACCACGTTGTCCTTGTACAATTGTTTGTCTTGCCGGTTCAATATTAACCATTGGTGGTGATCGATGTTTTGAACCACCATTCACAACACCATTGATTCCTGTACCTGAACCACCACCATTAACATTTAAACGAACTTGTGCTTCAGCTGTACCATAAGAATTACTTGCAATACATGTATAAACACCATTATTATGATAATCAATATTGGTTATTGTCAGAACATTGCCCATAACACGTGAATTATTTGGTAATTGACCAGCATCCAAACCATCCGGTGTTGGTCGTCCACCACTAACAAATATCCAACGTACCGATGGTATTGGTCTACCAGTTACATTACAATCAAATCTTATACGTTCACCACGTATTGAATCAAATTGTGATGGTTGAACACGTGCTGTTGGTACAACACCATTAACATGAACATATGCATATTTATGATAATCATGTACGAATAGAACAGTTTTTCTTGAATCTGAACCAGCTGAATTTGTTGCATGACATTCATATTCAGCTTCATCACTTTTTTTAGCTGATGGTATATGAAATACTCCGGTTTCCGGTTGAAATGATGCTGTTGGATTCAGGATTTTATTATCCTGTTGTACAGGTTTCCATGACAATCGTGGACGTGGAAATCCATCAGCCAAACATTTAAATGTTACTGGATTTCCAACATGAACTTCAAGATATTCTGGTTCGATATGAATTTTTGGTGCAAATTTTTGTACTGATGGTCGTACAATAACAATTGTTCGAGCTGTTGCAACACTTTCCAAATCAAAACCCGAACAAACATATGTTCCACTATGTTCAGGTTGAATATTCGGGATTGTTAATGTACCACTTGCTTCAGAATAAGCTGGTGGTAATTGTCCTTCTAATTTTATCCAATCCAAATTAAAATATTGACTAATTTGACTAGTACCAGTACATTTAAGAATTAATTGTGAACCGGCAGCAATATGTTTAACTTTTGGTCCATCAATCTGTACACGTATTGTTGTTGGATGTGATTGTATTGATTCACAACGACTATTCGCAATGGATTCATTACGTTGATAACCAATATTACATATTTCACAATTACGACCAGTATAATTTTTTATACATTGTGTACATGTTGGTAAACCATCAATATCTAATTTACATAATGGTGAAAAATTATTTGACATTGATTCAGATGGACATGGACAACGACGACAATCATCCACAGTGCCAAATGTTGCATCACCATAATAACCATTTAAACATTGTTCACAATGATTACCACCAGTATTATGTTGACAATTTAAACAATACCCGGTATTTGGATCACAATGATCAGAATGTTGATTACAACGACAACGAATACATTTTTGTTTTGGCTGTTTTGTTGATTGTTGATCTTCATGGTTATTATCATTATTATCGATAATATCAATTTCACGAATAAAATTTGGTGAACATTGTTCACATGATAAACCTTGATAACCTTCTGGACAATTACATTGTTCAACTTCAATAGCAAATGGACGAATATCGATAGTATCATTATCAAATGATTCAACACCAATATCCAAACCAATATTTGATAAAAATGATTGTTTCATTTGTGTATGAAATGTTGCACGTATAGCAATCATTTCAACATTAACTAATACTTGCAGGAAATCTAAACGATTTGCCATACCGGTTGCCTGTGTTTGATGATCAATTTTTTGCCATAATTCATCTTCAGCTTGTAAACCAATTTCAAAACGTTGATCAAAATTCGATGGAAATTCTGTCGAACTAATATATTGTAATATTAAACCATTACCAAAAATAAAAACATCAGCATCATTAATAAAATGGCCAGAATTTTGTATAAGATATTTTCTTGTAAAACGTAACCGGCCACCATATGATGATAAACGATTACCAAGAAATTGATTCGGTAAAAACCAATATAATGTTTCAGGATTAGAATCAGGTTGATCAATGGGTGGATTTTCATGTAGCCAAAATAATGAATAAAAATGTGCTTCATTTGTTGAAAAATTATATGCAATACGATCAGTATAACGAATTGTTTGAAATCTTGTTGCCAATTCTAATTTTGAATCGATGAAATAATTTTGTGAAAAATCCATCCAAATTGTTGTACGTCGTAAACGACTACTTTGACATTGATCAGTAACACCGAAACAATAACATGATGAACAACCATATGGATTATTATCGGCTAGATTAAAATAGCCATCACGACAATGATCACAATTATCACCTAAAACATTTTGTTTACAATCACAATTCATTATCGATAATGTTGATGATGATGATGATGGATGACATTCAGCATTTTTTGTTCCATTACGATTACATTGACAATTTTTATCATCAATAATCGGTCGGCCATTATCATCACCATCATGATGTTGTGGTTGATGGTGATGATAACGATGATGATGATGATGATTACTACCAATTATAGTTGGTTGACAATCATCAGATTGACCATTTGTAGCATTACCATTATAACCAGGTTCACATTGATCACAATACGGTCCCGTTGTATGATGTTGACAATCCATACAATAACCGGTTAATGAATTACAATCAATTGAATGTCCATTACAAAAACAAGGTATACAACGATGAAATTGATTATTCATGTCCAAATCGTTCGAATCTTGATCTGTCGTAATTAATTGCATTTTATAACCAGGTGCACAACGTTCACATGATGTACCGGAATATCCTTGTGGACAATGACATAATTCAACTGTATCGACTTTTTGTGTTGAAATAGAAATCGAATGTGGTATTAATGAATCCGATGTCGAAGTTGTCGTCGATGGTGATAACATTTGTATTTCAACACTTGTATCCAATGTTACGGCAATCAAACCAATCCAACTAATATCATCAGTAACCGTTGCTAATAATTGAATTGAATCAATATTAGCTAATATTATCATTAAATCATTACGGCTAGCTTGTTGACCACCATTATCATCACTAAGTTTCCATTGATTTTCAATTAATGCAATATTAATGGTAGTTGAAATTAATGGATGTAATGGTTGTTGATGATAATATTCAATTGTACGATTATTACCCATTATAATGGCAAATGGTTTACGATAATCATTATGATTATGTTGAAAATAATTTCCTTGAAAACGAAATGTATAATTTAAATAACCACCATATGATTTAATATGATTTCCAAGAAAATTGAATGGTAATTGCCAATATAAATGACCAGATGTTTGGCTAAAATTTTGAAAAATAATTTCACGATTCAAATGATCAAATGTTAACGAATCAGTTGCTGCTGATGATGATGATGATGATTGTTCTTGAATCATAGAATCATGATCACGTAATATAAATCCATGTGAATAACGATCAATATTTGCTGAAATATGATTACGATAAAGATTTGTTGCAGCTAAACAATTTTCAGTAATACCAAAACAAAAACATTTAATACATCCAGTATGACTGAAATCATTTAGATGAAATGAACCATCTAAACATTTATCACATAAATTTCCTGTGACTAGTTTTTTACATTGACAATATTGTTGTCGAATCGAATGATGATGATTATTATTATTTTGAAGAATTTCTTCTCGTTGAAATTGCCCATTATTATAACTACCATCATCGATAATATCCATTCTTGTTACTGCTGCTGCTGTTGTTAAATTAGGACGTATACTTCCCACGGGATGGCATGCTATTAACGATTCTATAGTAATAAAAAAGAGAGAAAAAAACGAAAAGTGAAAGAATTTTTCGAACCAACAACAACAGAAAAAAGCAATTCAAAAACATATTCTGTAAAATAAAAAACATTGTTCATATACCAGCACCAGCAGCAGAAGCAGCAATTTGATGATGAAAGCTGTTGTTATTATTTTGATCATCATTTAAAATATATTGATGGCAGTTAAATTCATCACTATTATCCAAACAATTACCAATACCATCACAATAATAATGATAATCAATACAATGGCCATTAGATTTACAACTAAACATACTATGATCGCATGCTTTTTTGGTTTTTGAAATTTGTGGATGAATGAAAATGAAACGGACAGGACAATGTTTCAAAAATGTTCCAAAATCATGGGCAAAAGAAATGAAAAAAAAGAAAAAAGAAAAAAAACAGGCAAATAAAAAAAGACATTCCAAGAAGGAAGGATGTTTCTATTGAAAAATGCATTTTGATAAATCAAACAAACCAAAAATCAAATTAAACACATGGAAATATTTCTGGTGGGGAAACAAAATCAAATCAAAAAGTTTAAATAGCATTTGATAGATGAAAAAATGGCAAGGTATCATGTATTTAAATCACGTGTTTTTTATGAATATTTTAATTAACAACAACAATAATAGAATAAACATACCACAACCAAATTCATCATTACCATCTGGATGACAATCGATTAATGAATTACAACGATATGATTTATCTAAACATGTACCATTTGAACATTGAAATTGTTCACCAGGACAATCCACTATTAAAGGGAATATTAAAATAGGAAAATAGGAAAATAGAAAAACAAAACGAGAAAAAATTGAAATTATTAAAGCAATGATAATAAAAAAAAATAAAAGACAGCTATTCAGCTATGATAATGGGCTAAATACCAATTATCATAATGGACACACACACACATTAATAGATATTTGAGAATGAATGAAAAAGGTAATAATATTTTACCTTTTAATGAACAATAATGTTCACCAGTTGTTTCGTTAATTTTTTTTATATAACCACGTTCACATTTGTCACAAAGTTCACCCTGAAAAAACAAAAATTTTTTATTATTTAAATACGGTGAAAAGATTAGGTAAATTCTGGTTCAACTGAGTATTAAAACAAAAATGAAAATAAATTTACCTCATAACCGATAGGACAGGCATCACAAATGGCCATTTGTCGTCGAGAATCATAATGGCATGGTATTAGTAGCCTATATAATAATAATAAAAAACAACAACAAAATAAACGAATAAAGTGGATATTAATGTAGAATATAACAACAAATCATTTAAAAAGTTAAACACAGGCAGAAAGATTCACTTTTCAAATTTGAAAAAAACTACTTACCAAGTTGATGGAAATTCAGTCCATTCATTTTCATCTTGTAAATTATTATTATTATAGCTTTTTATATGAGGTGGGAATAAAAAGAGAGTGGGAGTAAATGGGGAAAAAATGGCAATTTTACTTATAAATTTCGGAAAACTTTTTTCTCTTTTTATTACTTACATATGATTGTTATGTTGATGATGATCAACATTACTACCACATGGACATTTTATACAATGATGATGATGTTGATGTTCATGTGGATGTTGATGATTTAAATGTGGATGATGATAATAACCACGTTCACATTGTTCACAATGAAAACCATGTGTATGATTTTGACAATGTAAACATTGTCCAGTATAATGATCACATTCATTTGAATATCCATTACAATCACATTTAATTTGCATTGGTAAACATTCATCATTTTCAATGATTTGTTGCTGTTGATTTGTATCGATAATATTCAATATTGATCGTTGTTGTTGTTGTTGTTGTCGATGACGACGATGATAACCAGGTGAACATTGTTCACAAGATGATCCTTGATAACCTGATGGACATGAACATTGTTCAATATAAGATGAACGTTTATGGTCCATTTCTAGATTATTATCAATTATTCGACCAGATTCTAATTCAATATCCATTATTGATGATTGTAAAACAATTGAATCATATGATGCTTTTATCAGAATTTCCTGAATATTTGATAGAATTTGTAAAATTTGTTGTCGATTTAGATCACTAATCATTAATGATGTATTATGATTATGATAATGATAATTATTCCAATCAATTGTTGGTTGATTTGATTGCCATTCACCAATCCAAAAACGTACTGATCTTCGATGATAATCACCATCATTATCATCATTATTATCATTATCATTATCATTATTATGGTTATTATGATTGATTGAATGAGAATATTTTCTATAATGATACATTGTATGATTTTGGCCACGAACAATAATATCAGGTAAATCATTTAGCGGGCTTGGTGTAAATGGTTGTCGATAACGTATTAGATAATGTAAATAACCACCATAACTTAATAATTGATTACCAAGAAATGGCTGTGGTAAACGCCAATAAAAATAAACCGAATCAGGTGTATGTACTGATGCTATTGTTGAATCAATTGAATGTTCACGTGTTATTGGATCTAATTGTATTGCTTGTTGATTTGGTGGAAAACGATCAGAAACATCAATAAAATCATTATTATTATCCATTGACCATTGTTGACTAATAGCCAATATTGTTAATTTCATTTGATCATTTAATGTAATTGATTCGGATTTGATTGATGAACTATAACAAATATCCGTATGACCAAAACAATAACATTGTAAACATTCGCTTGAATCATTTGCAATATCATTGAATAATGGTGGTTGACATAATAGATTTATTGCTGTTATTTTTTTTTGAGGGGGAGAAAACAAAAACAATTTTCCATACGAAAAACTTTAAATTTTCATTAAAATTTTTTCAAACTTACGTTTTACAATTAAAATTGTTTCAACCGAAGCCAATTCAGTATGTTTTGAATTAATTGCCTGACAACGATAACGACCTTGATCATTAATCATAATATCGGTTAATGTTAGCGTTCCAATACCACCATTTGAATTGATTAGAATTTTTGCTGTATCCGGTAATGTTTCATTATCATTTTTAATCCATGTAATTAATGGTATTGGTAGACCGATTGCACGACATGTTAATGTTACTTAAAAATCAAAAATAGGATCAAAATAAATTAATTAACAACGGTAAACAACACGGTAATCGGTTATTCATGCATGGAATTAACACTTACCAGTTTCACCTTCAACCGTAACGATTGTTTGACTTGGTGTCTGTACGATTGTTGGTTTTGAACAGCCAATCTGATCCAAAAAGGTAAAATGAATGATAAAAGGTAAAAAAATCGATTAAATCGATTATTACCTCATCACTTTTATCTTGACAATCGAAACGTCCATCACATTGAAAATTTTTTGGTATACATTGATTACCGGATTCACATTGATATTCATCCATTTTACATGTCGATGACGATAGCGACGATGATGAGGAATTCATCTGATTCAAATCATCTTGATCTTTTTTTTTTTAAATCATCAAATAAAAATGTCAAACATGAAAAATGTGAAAAATGAGAAATAGGAAAAATCGGGTGGAGTTTGAGAGAGGGAAAACATAAAAAAAGAAAACAGCAGAAAACATTATGAAAATGGAAAAAATTTTAAAAGAAAAAAAAGAAAGAAAAAACTATAATGACTGGGTGGCAACCACAGAGTTATCATCATAATCATCATCATCAAAATTTTGATAAAAAAAATTATCAAAATTGAAAATTTAGTGCAAGTGGTTAATGGGGAATAATTCAAATAAACATGCAATATGTGTTTCTGTCAAACACACACACAGAACAAACAGAATGAAAGAATGGAAAAATTTACCACCACATGAATATTCATCACTATGATCACCACAATCATTTTCTGTATCACATCTTTTTTTTTCAATTAATTAATTAGTCAATCAAGTGAAGTGAAGTGAAGTGAAGTAAAGTGATTGAGAAAAAAAAACGAAGCCAGCAAAAACAAACAAACAAACATACAAAAGCAAACAATGGTGGATGGATCAATCAAAATCATTGAAAAGCATGCGGTAAAAGAAGTTAAAAAGAAGTTAAATTAAATTAGTGGATGCTCAAATTATCAATGAAAATTATAAAAATTATGTACCTATAAATTTTTAAAATACAAAAACCATTTTGACAATGAAATTCATCGGATGTTTTACATTGACAATTTTTTTGTTGTCGTTCATCACTTTCATCCGAACAATCAATATCTTTGTCGCTAGAAAATTTTCAAACAGGGAATCAAAACGGATTTTTTCAAACAAAAGAATCAAAAGCAAGGCAAAATCATACCAAACATGCTCTTTGGAAATACATTCACCATTCGTACAAATGAATTGATTTTCATTACATTTTTGATGTGGTGGTGGTAATTGTTGATGATGATGATGATTATTGTGATTGTGATTAGGATTAGGATTTAAAAGCATTTTTTTATCCATATCATTATCATCATCATCACTTTCATCATCATTATCATTATCATCATTCGAATCTAAATCAACATCATTCGAATCTATATCAACATCATCGTAATCATCAACGATGGTCGAAATAGTGGATGATAATGAATATATGTCTGATGATGATGATAAGCAAGCAGTAAAAAATAAAAAAAAGGGTTAATCAAAAGTTAATTGTTCAGAAGAAAAAAAAAGTTAATTCAAACCTCCTTGATCATTTTGAGGTAAATGATTAATCATTATTTCATAATCGTAAGCTTCGTTTTTTTTTTGAAAATTTGATTGCGTGAAATTAAGAAAATTTCCAGAAATTATTTTTAGATTAAAAGCTTTCGAAAAAAGTTTTCAAGGAAGATTTTTGGAAAAAAAACTTACTTGGTTGAACAGTTAGATATGCTGCTTTTTGTGCTAAAGCAGGTAAACCGGAACCAGTTTGTGTTGAACAAACATAAACACCTGAATGATTAATTTGTACATTGAATAATAAAAGACGACCACGATTATCAACAGCTTCAGGTGGTAATGTTGGATAATTTTCACGACGCCATTCAACTTCCAATCGTGATTCACCTTCATCACGACAACGAAATACAGCTTCTTGTCCTTGTCGTACTGTTTGTCGTTCTGGATAAATTTGTAATGATATTTGTTGCCGTGGACAATCTTGTTCATCCGAATTATCCTGACAATCCTGTATATCATCACAACGTTGCCGTTGTTCAATACAACGTCCATTTGCACATGTATATTGACCTTTTTGACATATCCCTTTTAAATAAAAGAAGGTTTATTAAAGATCGATATTTATTCAATATAAATAAATAAATAAAAAACAGACAACAAAAAACTACTTACAACATTCTAATTCATCAGAACGATCTGGACAATCCGATTCACCATTACAAAGTAATGCACGATCAATACAAAGACCAGTACCACAACGATATTGTGATAGACGACATGTACGATTTTCTTTACCAAAACAACAGAATGGGGGGAGAGAGAGAATAACAGAACCGGAAAAAGAGAATTATTTTGGGAATGCAACAGCAAAACCAGAATCAAATAAAGAAAAAAGGAAAAGAAAACTTCCGTTGCCAATTCCTGTTGGCGACATTACCAACAACAGAAAAAAACTACCCCTTTTCTTTTCTCTATTGAATCAATACACACACCAAGATATACACAAGACATCTTTAGTGTTAGTGATCTGGAATCACTTAGCTAGATTAGATTTACAAACAGCAACAACAACGATGATAATAATAATAAAAAAACAATCAAAGAAAAGAAAAACTTTCCTAAAAAGAATAAAGAAAAAAGTAAATTGGCTTTTCGGGAATATTCTTTCTTTCTTTTTTTTGATTTAAATAGTATTGGTAGTGAGAGAAAATATTGTCAAAATCAAAGAAAACTAATCAATTTTAATTGTCGTAACGAAAAAACTTTCTTTTTTGATCTGATTTTCCCTTACTGATGATAATTGATAATTAGTCAACTTGAAATAGGAAAAGAAACCAGACACGAGAAAAGGCTAATTCATTATTGATTGAGCAAAATGAGAAAAGAGTCATGCATATAAGACTTAACACTTTTTTTCCTGTCATATGTGTGATTAGATTAGAGGGAAAAAAAATCAATGAGAAAAAACTGAGGAATATATTTACCACAATATTGTTCATCGGAAAAATCGTAACAATCATAGAAGCCATCGCATCTTTTACATGACAAAAGCAATTATCGTGAAGAAAAGGTGAAAGCATTGATTGATTAAATTGATTTGGATTTGATTAAATCAAATGAAAAGGGAGAAAATGAAATGAAATTATCGGTTATTAATGAGATAAAAAAAAGGCGCAAAAAAAAAATTTTGATGATCAAACGGAATTTTTTTTGTTTTGAATGTTTACCTTAATGATTCATGTATACAATTACCATCGGTTTGACATTCAAATTCATGTGCACCACAAATCACTATTTGATTTGATTTGAAATCAGTGATTGTTTCGTTTCAGTCGTTTGTTTGATTATTGCACATCAGTAGCAGCAGTAAGCAAATTTTGTTTGTTTGGTTGACGAAAAAAATAAGCATTATTTGCAGAAAAAATGGAAAGAGAAAAACAAATGAGAAAAGCAAATAGAATTAATGAAATCACAATCATCATCATTGGGAAAATGGATTTATAGATTTTGTTTGATTCGGACAAAGATTCAGTAGGAAAAAAAATTTCCGGTCAAAGAATATTTTCAAGTCAAGAAAACAGAGAGAAGATCGATCAATTTTTTGATCATTTTTTTTTGTGGATCGATTTGTGAGTGAAATGAACGAAAACGAAAACGAACTTACTTTGACAATCAAGTTCATCTGAACCATCAAAACAATCTTTATGAAAATTACAACGGAAATCTTTCGAAATACATTGACCATCACGACAACGAAACATATTATTTTGATTACATTCATCGTTGTTTACTGATTTTGGTGATTACAAAACAGAAAAATATCGATTGTATCGATAGCCGGAAATGCATGACCGAAACAAAAATGAGAGAAAAAAAAGAGAAAAAATGAAAAAAGGTAATTTTTTGTTGGATGACAAACAAGAAATGTAAAAATCAATCAAATAACCCATACCAATACATTGAAGTTCATCCGAACCATCAAAACAATCTAAATCATTATTACATAATAATTGTTTTGAAATACATTTTTGTCCATCAAGGCAACGAAATTGATCCGGTCGACAATGTTTTACTATTATTAGATTAGATTAGATTAGATTAGATTCAAAAGTTTGATGAAAATTTAGACAATCATGAAATAAAATGAAACTTACCCAAACAATCATCGGATAGTTCATCCGAACCATCTAAACAATCTTTTATTGCATTACATTTTAAACGTTCGGAAATACATTGACCATTTGAACAACGAAATTGTCCTAATGCACATATATTTTCTTCTGTAAAAAAAATATTTGTATTTGTAGTTTTCATTAATTAACCAGGTAAAAAAATCAAAATCAAATCAAATAAAACAAATCAATCAATCAATCGATTGATCGATCGATTTGGGAAAGAAAAAAATCGATTAAATTAATTAATTTTTTTATTTTACAGAAAACAACATACCACAATGAAGCTCATCAGAATGATCATAACAATCAAATTTATAATCACAACGTAAACGATTATCAATACATTGATGAAATGAATGACAACGAAATTGATTTGCTTGACAATTACAATCCAATTCATCTGAACCATCATGACAATCCGGGTGATCATCACAACGTTGTCGTTGTGAAAGACAAAGACCATCATCATAGCATTGAAATTCATCCGGACGACATTCTATGTGAATGGAATTCACAAAAACAAAAGAAAAAAGGGAAAAAACAAAGAAAAAAAACCAAAATCATAATCATTAAATATAACCCGACCCATGTAAAACAGAGGAAAAAGGATGGGAGAAAAATCAATCACAAACACTATCAATCAGAATTGATTTTTCTATAGCTAATCGAATTCTATCGTGATTAAAAAAAAAGATCATTCGAATTGAATGAATGATGAATGTTTTTCTACATAACCAAACAAACCTTTTGTATATGAATCAGAACAATTTAATTCATCATAACCATCTGAACATTGTATCCAACCATCACAATGTTGTTCCATAGGTATACAATAATTATCTATTGGACAATAAAATTCTTTGTTTGAACATAAATCAATATTAATGTTGGCTGCAGTCGATGTCGAAATAGTCGAGGTAGCAGCAGCATTAGTGGCAGTATTGTCATGGATGATAATTGATGATGAATTTATGGGCGTTGGTGGTGGTGGTTTATGATGATAATCAGGATGATCAGGAGGATGATGATGAATGATATGCGTAACATTTTGATTAAATTGGCCAAAATTTTCATCATCATTATCATCGTCGTAGTCCTCGTTGTTGTCTAAATCAGTTTTATCGAAATCTTTGTTTTCATTTTTCCCTTGAACCGTTGGTGATTCTTTTCGATGATTCGAACCAATTGGATCTTCCATATCTAATCGATTATCTTCATAAATATAATCATCATCATCGTTGTCGTCGTCGTTGTCATCATTATCAACTTCTTCATCGTCATCATAATCATCTGGATCATCAAATGGATCATCATCATCTACAACATTGGATTCGGTTGGCCAAAAAACTTGATTTGTATTCTTTTTTTTCTTTAATTTTTTCAGAATTTTCGACCCAGTTTTTGGCTGTTTTTGTTTCTGTTGTTGAATAAATCGTTTCGGATGATTTAAATTTGAATTTGAAAGAAATTTGATCTGATTTGTTTTACTATTTTGATGTTGATGATCGTTATCGATAATAGGATCATTATTTTTAACATCAAAAGTTTTAAATTTTCGTCGTCTTCGTCGCCGTCGACGACGATGTTGATGATTCGATGATCGCTGTTGTTTTTGTTGCTGTAGAAATAATAAACGTTCAATTTTATGATGATTGTCATGGACGGAATCATAAGATTTTTTGGACAATTTCTTATTTTTTCGAAAAGTTTTTTTCGTAAATCTATGTTGTTTTTGTGGATTATTTTTCAAATCATCATCATTATTCAATGTTGATGATGTTAATGATGATAAATGATTATCAAAATTCGTTAAAACATTTGTTTGATTAATAATAATTGTTTTTGATTGTTTTGGAAAAATTTTTGACCAAGATTTTTCGTTGTAAACATCGTGTTGTTGTTGTTGTTGTTCGATCTGTTCGAAAAACAGGAAAAAAAAGACATAAATAAACCGCATATGTGGAAATAGTTGCTATGGGAGAGGGATGAGCAAAAACAAAAAAAAAAACGTTCGAATGTAAATAAACTTTGTGATTTTCGAATGTTATGATTATCTTGAATCTTGAACAACAACAAAAATCGATCCAAGAATGAAATGAAACAATCTCGTAATTCATTTTCAAGGACAATTTCAACAACGAAAACCGAAAGGAAAAAAAAAACTCAATCAAAATTGAAATCACAAATTCATTTTTCATCGAGCCAAGAGAGAGAGAAATGCGACCATTATTTCCATTTTTTTCCGATGATAGAGAACAAGAGAAAGTGAAAATGAGAATCATTTTCCAAAAACACGAAACATGTATTACAATAACCGAAAAGCAAAAAACCCGAAAAACATTGAAATGTGATAATGTTGCTGTGTTATTCCATAAATCATGATGATTTTTCTTCTTCTTTTTCTTCTTTTCGACCAAAAAGAAAAAAATCAAGAATATTACTTAACGACAAAATCTGGCTATCCAAAAGCCAGAAAAAAAACAGCAGATAACGAATAATCAACGAGAAAAAACAAAACAAAAAACGAGTCATGCAATACCTGGATGATGAAAACAAAAACAAAATCTCGAAATCTCTAAAAGGTAAGTACCTTTTTTTTTCTTTTTTTTCTTTCTTTCATCATCATCAGCATATTTAAGAATTCTTTCGAAAATTCTGTCAAAAAAAATTTTCTATGAACCAAAATGAATGAATTGAATGAATCCTTTCAAAGTAATATTAATTATAATGGTACTCTCTCTTTTTTTTCTCTGCTTAAGCATCTTGTTTTTTCATTAACCAGATTTTTCTTTTTACCCAATTTTTTGTTAAATGAAACACTTATGCAAGTGTGCGGGGGTGGTTGTGAAAAGTGATATCAAATAAGATTCTGATGATGATGGGTGCTTATGAACCAACGTTATATGCAAAAGGCTTTATCGTGACAAAATTTCGATTTTTTGTTCGTTCGTTCGTTACATTTTGTAATGTGTTTTTGCGGGTAATTACACTCACGGGTTCTCGTTTGTGTTATCGACGAAACCGTTTTTTTTTCTCGTTGGAATTCTTTAACTAACTAACTAAATAACACTGAAAAAAAGAATTGCGTGTTTGAATGAGAATGAGTGAGTGAGTGTGTGAATGCAAGTGTGAAACAAAAAAAAAGTCAAATTTACATACGATTTTTTCTGTTTCTTTTTTTTTGTCAATCATATATGGTGTGTGTTTGGGCCAAAAGTGTGGAATGTTCCACCAAGAGAGAGAGAGAATGGTACAAGACATATGACATACATAAAGATAATTGTAAATGAAACAACGAAACATGATTATTATGGAGATGATGATAATGATAATGATAATGGTGATGATGATGATAGTTAAACAATTGAGAACACCTTATTTACACACACACTTACACGACATGATTCTTGTGTTAATTTTTTCAAAATTCTTTTGGATTCTTGTTTTAGTCAAGATTCTGTAATAGAGAGGGAGAGAAAAAAAATTTATTCCGTTTTTTATTTTTGTTTGAAAACTTTCGAAACTTGTAAAGTTTCGAAAGTCATTTTTTCCCCTCGATAGTTTTTATTACAAATAATGGGTGATCAGTTTTGCCAAACAAAAACAAAACTTTGATCTCTGATTTCAAAATGTCAATAATAATAAAAAAAAAGAAAAAACTTTATTATTGAATCAAAATTGATTGATATATACCAGATCAATTGTAATAAACTTTTCGAAATGGAAACATTTTCACTCAATAACTTTCTGGAAAAGTTTTCCGAAATGGAAAAAATTCCAATTCATTCATAATGGTTACAAGTTAATAATCATCAGAACAGAAAAAATGACAAATTCTTGTTTCAGAAACAATAACGAAACAAAAAAAAAATGACAACCACGTTAGTGACAAAGTGTTATTTTTTGCGAAAAAAAAATCATAATCATCATAAATAATGGTTTTTGATTAAAGGTTTGCTTGGTGAAATAAATTATCTATTTGACTGTAAAAGTGGAAATAGTCGTCATTTTGTGAATTGAAATGAAACCAAGAGCCTGATCATTATCAAATGACAAATGATTATTCAAAAAAAAAAAAAAAATGATAATTTGGGGCCATTTTTTGGTTTTGTTAAAAAAACTAACTAAAAATGCA